GGTGATAGGGGGCAGTACATACCTAAATCCCTGCAAGCAAACAGTATTTTTGTGTTCGAAGAAGACCTTACCAGTGGATGGCCATTAGGGTCAAAAATGACAGGGAGCGCAGCCTCCAGCAAAATGCCAAGCACATCAGACTCCCTGTAATCACTGGCAATGTGTGAAGAGGTAAATATGTAAGACAACGTTTATGAATGGCGACAGTTTTGTAACAAATGTGCTTTGTCTTCACAGGCTCAAATAGAAGGAAACATGGCATCTAATATGGCATCACTCAGAGACGTGGCTACATTCACACTGCTGGCCTTGATGCTCAATTCAAATTTTTGGAGTAAATGAAAATTTTTGTGTGGCTGTTCACACTATGACTCTCTCCAGTGTGAACGCTTCACGGCCCCAAAGCGACCCGCATGCACAGAAGACAAGAAGTCACACACAGTGGAGATGAAACCAGAAGAGGCAAAGTTGTGATGTGAAGAGCGTCACTGACAGGTCCTCCACAATTTCAGGATCACACCATTCAAGTCTCCTGTTTTGGGCTAGAAACTGTCTTAAAAACTGTTAAAAAAAAAAAAAAAAAAAGGTGTATTCCCACCGTCTTCCCGAGTAATTTTTCACTACAAAGGAGAAACTCCCGTTCTCATGGAGACACCACCCCCTCTCCCTCACGGAGACCGAGACCGATGAGACGCTCCCCCCATCAGCACCTCCCATTCTCCTGCTCTTTGATTTTAATTCCAAAACTTAACAGGATGTCCAGACAGACCTTTGAATCCTTCAGTCAGCGCTTCTCCCCAGGAACATCAACACACGACGCTCTCCTTCACTGACTCGGTCATGTAAAAGGTGGATTTAATGCGACATGACCAGACTGCAGTCGTTTTTATATACATCAGAATCAGTACCACATTGTAATGTGACCTGGATCGGATTTGAAAAATCTGATACATTCTGTTAAGACTGTCATAAACAAAATCAGATATGGATCCAAAGACTAGCAAATGCCGTATTCTGGCCACAGAGGGCGGTGGTGGTCTGAGTGACATTTAATTAACCCTGTAAAGAAAATTACTGAAAAAATGAAAAGGTGACTAGTATGGCATTAAACTAAGTGATCATTTAAAGGTGTGGAACACTGAAAAAATAATTTATTATTTCTGATTGTAATCAGTCACTCTGAGTTTAACATGCAGGCTGAACATGAATAGTCTCCTACACCTACCTCTAGCGATGGGTACCGAATTCGGTACTTTTCAAGGTACCGACCAAATTCCATAGTATCGACTGAGCAACGATTTACGTCATTTGAAATGGTGCCTCGTTTCGGTACCCGTCCTTCATAACGAGAACTTGCCTAGACAGCTGCGCAAGAGCGTTACGTTGGTTGCTGCGAGCCAGTTGTAAACAGAGCAGCATGGTAGAAAGAACGCACGCTAAAGCTTGGGTCCACTTCACTAAATGTGATGGGTAACTGGGTGATGATGAACCAGCGACAACGATCTAAGTGAGACATCCCCATCTTAATCTGCTTCGGTAGGTAAATAAAATGTTTAAGATAACGTTAGCTTGATATGTTAGCTTCCGTTTCGCTAATGGTGCGTTCGCTTTCTCCTCGGAACTCAGAATTTCCAACTAGAAGAACATGAACGCGCTCTAATGTTTGGCTTCACTTTACTAAATGCGACGGGTGATTGAGTGAAGATGAAACCAGCGACAACGATCTAAGTGTGAGGCATCATCGTTTTAATCTGCTCCAGCAGCTAAATAAACTGTTTAAGATAACGTTAGCTTGATATGTTAGCTTCCATTGCCACCACTGTTATCAGCTAATGGTGCGTTCGCTTTCTTCTCGGAAATTCTAACTTCCCAGTAGGAAAAATCAAATGAAAAAGGACGGTAAAAGGAATGAAGATACACAGTAAATTTAGTTCACAGTAAAGATGTTTGCTTCAGTTTAATTATCAGCTTATAAAACTACAAGGACGATGTTAAAATACAAACAGTTGTATGTTATTTATCGTGATATTTATCAAATATGGTTGTATATTGAGAAAAATATATATTTAATTAATCTTTTAATTCTCTTTTATAAACACTCAAAAGTATCTAAAATTGGTACCGTTAAGTATCGGTATCGATTCCTAGGTACCGGGAATTAGTACCGAATCGATTCAAATGTCAAAGGTACCCATCCCTACCTACTTCCTGCATTAGCTTCTGATAAAGACGGTGAAACTCCAGGATTTGAAAAGCCCGACAGATCTACGTCACACTGTCACTTAAAATTCATGGACTCACCCATCTTGACTCGTGACGAGGAAGGCTGTTGGTTTAGCATCCAGGAAACAGCAGGCTTGTGGAAGCTAACTGTTAACATTAGCCACTCCACCACGCAAAACTCCTCCAGGCTTGTATTGTTTGTGGGGATAAAACATTGCAGAGCAAACTGAGACAGTGGTGGAGTTGTGATGTTGGTAGCCAATCAGAAAGTGAGGTCCAAATATCAGAAAAAAAAATTAAACTTCATATCCCGCCGTCTGAAGCTCTCCTCTGACTTGGCAGTCTTCTAGATCCTGAAACAGGCATACTAGGGCTTTTTGTACCCAGTGTACAACTTACAAGAGTCATGTTTTTTTTTTTTTTGTTTCGGAATGTGTTTGACCCACATATGAACTCTCAGGAGACCAGGAGATATAGTATTACAAAAAAAAAAAAAAAAGGAAAAAAAAGTGTATTTTTGGAATAGAAGGTAGCAGGTAGGAAAGGAGCTGGTACTGGAGCCAGAGATTGGACCACTGGAAGAGATGACACAGGAGGTGATGAACGGGACGAGGAGGAATAAGGAATATAGTTTAGCCCTTTGATGCATAATGGTCACTACAGTGGACAGGTACTCAAAATTGATTTTTATTTATTTTTGCTATTAAGCACAGCTGTTGAAGACTTTATTGCATGTGATTCCCTCCATTTGGGCTTCAGTAAGTCAAGCCAACATATTTCATGTTCAGAATGCACACTGCCCACTGAGCTGGACATGTAATAAATTATTTGTAAATTAACAAAATGTTACAAAAAATATTTGTTGAAATTTGTTTCATTCACACCTAAAGATGAATAAAAAAATTGTTTAAAAAATCATGGTTGAAGATTTCATATTTCATGCATCAGAGGGTACGAGTTCTTACTGCAATTAGATTGCAGAAACGTGGGAGGGAGGGGGGGAGAGAGAGAGAGAGAGAGAGAGAGAGAGAGAGAGAGAGAGAGAGAGAGAGAGAGAGAGAGAGAGAGAGAGAGATTTAGAATCCTGCAGGAACAAACAGAACTGGTTCAGGAGGCTGGATTTTACCACTAAAGCAAACAATCTAGCACTGAATGGCTGGTTCCCTGGCTCCTTTATTCCTCCCATCTGATTATGTGATTGGCTGCAGGTGAGCAGGTAATCAGCTGGAATGAGTTTCCCTGAGTGTCTCCATGATCCTCCAACCACCTGTGAAGGAAAAGTGTCAACAACCCACAACCCCAGAACCTGACAACAAGACATCCATTCCTACTGGACAAATGTATTGAATAATGAGTGAACTACACCTTTAAAGCTGTTATAACGAATCTGCAGAAAGAGCTAGGTTTTGAACCAAGGCCCCATAATTCAGATCTGGATATGAAGCAAAACAGAAAGTGACAAATTGCAGTTCCACCCTCATCCGCTGGGGGCTGGTGTCAGAAATGAGCAAATCCTCATTGACTCCCATGTTAAAAATACCAATTTCACAGCAGAAATAAACATGTTTACAGCCTGGTACCAAAACATGTTTTAAGTTTAATAGATCTAGTTTACACTCATGACAACTCTGAGAGCTAACAGTCCCTTGTGTGTGTGTGTGTGTGTGGGGGGGGGGGGGGGGGGGGGGGACAGAGGACAGGAGAACGCACAGCTAATTAATTTGGTTCTGTACCTTTCTCTTCAGCACAACCGACAAAGGTTTATGATGGGTCAGTCCTCCTGCATGCTCAGATCATTCCCTTCCCTTGCTTGAAAAATTGTTCCAAAATGAAAGTTGAACCCACATCTTTTTTATCTGTGAATTCAACGCCGTTCGGCGAGTCTCAAATAAGCGTCTTCTGCATCTGTAACATTTATATCCTTGATCACAGCTGAAACAACGTTCAAAGAACGGTTCGGAGGGCGATGCCTGAGCGTGAACGCACATGAAGCAGCCTGCTCGACCCGAGCATCTCTCTTTTTCTGTGATTTTACAGAAAAACAGGCAATCACAGTAAAAATGCCAGGGCTCATTCTACAGGACCAGGGCATTGCAGGAGAATGTATGAAGAAGACATTTATTATTTCTATACATGTTTTGGCTGTCAAACTTCCATAATGCCCCTTTAAAGACTTACTTTTATTCCTTTGCTTTTACTGCCTAGTTATTTTATCGATGGTTTATTTACACTGTTCTTTTACCGATTTGATTGACTTCTCTTGTTTGGTTCTTTGTGCTGTGCTCTAGCTGTTTTACTCGTTTATATTATTTGTTTAACCTGGTATGTTTTTACCCCTGTACAGCACTTTGGTCAGCTCACATGCTGTTTTTAAATGTGCTTTATCAAATAAATGGAATGGAAAGACCTGTGACCTACTTGTGACTCGCAAAGCAGTGACTTGGTCACACCTCTGGTTTTGGGCATTACACTAAAATAAAGTCAAGATATCAACATTCATTTGTTAGTATTTAAATTGAGGTGGATGGAATCAGAGCTCGACGGTTCTGATTCGGAGATAAGAGGTTGTTAAAAAGTCTTTCCTGAACCCGACCTCCTAAAAAGCCTCAAACAGAAGTGGAGAACTGACTTTTCCTGTTTGTTCCAAACAACTCCACATCCTCTGCTGCCACCTTGTGTTCACATTTAAAATGTGCTTCAGAGGACATGATCCCAAAACACTCATTTTCATTTTAAATAAATGTCCTGCATATAAACAAGAACATCTTCTTTGATCAACTTTTTATGTAAAAAGACGCTTTATTTGGAAAACAAAAGGTAAACAATTTATGACATAATTTAGCAGAGAAGAAAAACATGTTCTCTTTTCATTACACAGAGACTTGCCAGAATCTTTGTCCATATGTTTCATCTCTTTCTACATTTTCAAAAACTTGTGAGCTATGCTAACAGAAAAATGTTAGACTAGATGAGAATGGTAGCCAAAATAGTTGTTTTTGTTCCTCTCACAGGTTTTTACAGCTGCCTTTCCCAGCTCTAGACTTCCTGTCCAAGATGCCATTGTGTTTTCCTTTCTTATGCCTCAGGTAGAATGTTCCTGCTTGTTAGATAAATATTCTCATTCAGGACAAATGTTCCATGCAATTCACGCAGGCTGGTGGTGGACTGAGGTTTAAAAAGAGTTGCGTGCTTCTGTTGATCGGTGCTGCTGGGCCAGTTTACCATAGCCGCCTCTGGCTGGGTCATAGTCTTGCCTGTACTCATCTCTCACCTACACAAGAAGGGGATGGTGCACAGACAACAATAAGAATAGTTTTTTTTTTGTCTTAAAGGCCCCGTCTGTGAAATCCATTGAAATCATGATGAAAAATAAGGTAGAGAGTGTTTTTCCATTGAGGTAGGGACTATAATATTGTCTTGCAGCTAAATGGTGTGTGACTATATTTTATATGTATATATGGAAAATTTTAACTTGTGCGGCTACTTTTTAAGTTTTAATACAGGGTAAACGGAAGTAGTTAATTTGACAAATTAGGGTGTATTATGAAATGTTGAATCTTTTTATTCTTTATTTTTTCATTTTTTGGGTTTTTTTGGGTTTAATTTGAAGATTATTTGTTTTCCTGATTGTTTGTATTCACACGTGTGTAGCAGCTATCAACTGCTGAGGGACTAAAGATGGAAATTAGCCTTGGCTATAATCTTGCATGTTTACATAAGTATAATTATATATGTGTCCATTAATATGTGCTGTCCCTTTACAAATAAACGTAATCTAATCTAATCTAAAATGTGACTCTTTAGCGCCATGCAGTTCAGAGAAAGTATTGCAGCCACTGTGGCTCACTTATGGGTTTGACTGTATGATCAATCTCAAACCTGTGTAGCCTAACCCACACAAAGCTTAAAACAAGCTACTCGACCTCTTTAAAAAAGTATTTATAATTATGACTGTTTATCAACCTACCAGTTCTGAAAGAAGAAAGCTAGTTCTGTTCCTAAAGCTGTCACGATTCACACACAGAGGAGGTGTGACGACAGCCAGGAGGTCAGGTGTTGTGAGAAATTGTGTACCCCTGAAATATCCTGTCCCCCGTGTCGGGAGATCGCACTTCTGGCTATTTTCCACAACATTTGTGATCAACTTTTACGGGGAAAATGATGCAATGTATTGTAATAATGTTGCGCTTGTGATTTTTATCTGTATTTCCTCCTAAAAACAATAAAAAAGATACAGTAAAAACATTCTCGTTCACTCTTTTGCAGCAAGCTTATTTATCTTTTTTGAAAGTTATGTAAAAAGATGTAATCTCACTCAGTTTAACCATCTTTTATTTGAGGTTGTTAAGTCATCATGATGGACAATAAGTTCTGTGGATTTGGAAATGTTTGCTCTTGACTGCCCAAAGGAAACAGAATATTTCAGGGCAACATAATTTCCCACCACACCCGTTTCACGTAGATCACGGAGCGCACCGCTCGATGTAAACAAACTGGCTGCTGCTACAAGCTTATATGGATATGGAGCGATCACTGGCTGATCGTTAGCCACGGCTGGTGAAGCAGGGTTGGTGAGGGGGGGACACGCTGTGGAGATCAAGTAAACAACGCTGACTTAGCCACCAGCTAATTGTGGCTCACGGCTGGCGTGGTGGAGATGGGCGTCACGAGCTACTAGTTAGCCATGGCTAGAGCCGGAGAGACGCATAAACTCCCACGGATTACCAGCAAAAGGAGACCCAGGTCTAAAGGTAACGTTTGAGAAGAAGCCCTCTGAGTCGGAGCGTCTCTGTAATGCGTGGAGAACAACATCGCTGTTAGTAAAGTGTTGTGGAGATAAAAGTAAACCACGCTGATTAGCCACTGGCTAGCGCACGAGCACTGGAGCGTGTTGGGAGAGACGGCAGGCTGCGGGAAGAGAGGAGGCTTGAGTAGAAGGACTTTAGTACAGACACGTTGGGACGGGATCGGGAGTTCTGGTTCTACGAAAAGATGGATGAACAACTTGAGGTGAGTTTGGGAGTCAGAGACACTAATCAGAGGCTGGCTTCCAGATAATGGCGGGCGGGGATCTGAACATATGCGGCTTCCATGTGTTGGACATGACGAGGAACTGACAAATTTGATGTCTTTTGATTTAATTGTTTTTAATTCAAACTAACAAGTAGAGCAACGGTGTAGCTATTCTTTTCTATTTCTTAGTTGAATTAGCAGACTTCATGCTTCCAGGGCACACTGCTGCCCTCTGCTGGTTCTTTCTGGTTACAGTCATAGTCCAAACGGTAACGTGGAGCTCGTATGTCCCTAAACAGCTACTGTATTTTAAGATGGTGGATGACCATGGAGCCTCGACCACAGATTATGTATATAAAATGTATAACTATATAAGTTTGCAGTTTGTGAACTGCAAACACAGGATTTGATAGTAAACTGATAAAAAATATCACACACTGGGCCTTTAAGCAAGTTCACATTATGAACCAAAATGACCGTAAACCTCACCTGTCCTCCAGATTTGCCACGCCCGTACTGCCTGCCCTCCTTGAAGCCTGCGTCCCAGTCTGTCCTGATGATCCGGTCATCCAGCCGGGTACCGTTAACGAAGCGCATGGCGTTCTCTGCGTCTCCTCGTGTGTAGTATCTGGTACAGGCGCAGCTAAGGTCCACACTCTGTTCATTTTCACATCAATGCTACCCTTTTAATACACGACCAGTCAAGACAGAAACACTGTTGACATTTAAACGGTTTGTTTTCTTGTGCATCAATTGGCTTTACTAGATCAGGTGACGATAGAGCAGCAGTACCTCAGGAGGTAGAGTGGGTTGTCTAGTAATTGGAAGGTTGTAGGTTTGATCCCGGCTCCAGCCAGAGAATGCTGCTGTTGTGTCCTTGGGCGAAACTTTTAATCTGCCTTGTCTGCTGGTGGTGGTCAGTAGGACCGGTTGTGCCAGTCTATGCACCCAGGGCAGCTGTGGCAACATTGTAGCTCATCATCACCAGCGTGTGAATGTGTGGGTGGGTGACTAATTGTGTTGTAAAGCACCTTGGGGGGCTGTAGAACCTTAAGAAGATGCTATACAGATACAGGCCATTTACCTTTTACCAATAGTTTAAAAGGATACTCAACAAAACAGAATCCGCAGGCAGTCTTCTTGATTTTATCCAGGCCGATGATGATACGCTTCACGTCTCCACATTTAGCAAACAACTCGTGCACCTGTTCATATTAGCAGTGATTCGAAATATGCCTTCAATCTAGTAACCACAACCAGCCACAACCGTCTAGTTTTTATAAGCCAACATTCATCAGATCTCAGTAGTAGCTACATCGATCTTGAACATCGGATTATTTAGCTGGTTATAACCACGTTTAGAAGTTCTGAAAGGTTTTCATGGAATAATGTAAGAAGTAAAGCAGTCCTCAGGAAGCCGAAGCTAGCTTTATTTAAAGGTCTTACCTGCTCTTCCGTTGTGTAAAAGGAGAGGTTCCCAACATACAGAGTGTTACTGTGCTTTAGCAGCTTCTCCTGTTCATAACGATTACCCTAAAAACAAACATGACATAAAACTACTCTTAGAGCAGGAGAAAAACACATTTACATACAAAAGTCGAATTCATTCACCTTCTCCCTTACCTTAAAGTGTTGATCTCTATATTGACTAATCTCAGTGTAAGAATCGCTGGTTAAAGCGTTTAGTTTAGAAGACATTTTGGATAAATGACTACTTAGGCAGAATGCTAACGACGCGAGTTTGGATGATGTACTTCCGGTTATTTTGTCCGTCCCCTAAATACATCCGGGAGGAAACCCGGAGGATCGCTAAATTAGATCATTTTGCGTTTGCTTACAATTTTTTTTTAAGTTTTCGCCTTCATCCGAGCTTTGTAGTTGTTTGTGTGTGTGTTTCTTCTTAGTGTATTAGTGGGAAAAACGCAGAATGCTTTCAAAACTGGAAGTGTTAATCATTTATCAAGAATCAAAAAAGCAGTGAATGGACATAATCTAAATCAAGTCAAATCAATATTTGGTGTGACCATCTTTTGCCTTTAGAACAGCATCAGTTCTAGGTGCACACACACATTTGTTGAAGGAACTGGGCTGGTTCTAAACATCTTGGAGAACTAACCACAGATCATCGGTGGATATGGACTTCTTCACATCCTTCTGTCTCTTCCTGTAATCCTAGACACACGATTGATGTTGAGATCAGGCTCTGTGGGACCAGACCATCACTTTCAGGATTTCTTGTATTTTGGTGCACTTGGACTGCACGTACCTTTTGACCCTAAGGTGGTAGAGAACAAGAGAACCAAGCTCCTGTGGGACTTCCAGACCCAGACTGACAAAATGGTGATGGTGAACCAACCGGACATTGTGGTGGTGGACAAACCACAGAGATCAGCCGTTGTGGTTGATGTGGCGATACCAAGTCATGCAACATCAGGGAAAAGGAGCACGAGAAACTAGAAAAGTACCAGGGCCTCAAAGAAGAACTTAAGCTGGAGAGTGAAGACATCGGTGGTGCCCATGGTCATCAGGGCAGTAACCCCCAAACTGCAGGAGTGGCTAAAGCAGATCCAAGGAAAACAATCAGACCTCTCAGTCCAGAAAAGTGCATTTCTAGGAACAGCTAATATACTGCAGAACCCTCAAGATCCCAAGCCTCTGGTAGAGGACCCAAGGTTGGAAGGATGAGACCACCCACGGAGGGTGAGATGGGGATTTTTATATCAGCATCAGAAGTGTTTTAATGCCATATATGTGCAAGAAATCTCATTAGCAAATTACTGATTTTATATATATATATATTTCTTTTTTTTCCAACATCAACACCTTCTGCAGTTTTTTTTTAAATATTTTTATTTGTACATCTTAAATTCGATTTAAACATTTGCATCTTTATGCTTCTTTTTTTTATAAACCACGTCCTGTCTGGCTGTAAAGCAATCAGAATTTATGTCTGAACGCTGAAGACGAACCTTACAGTTTTACTCTGTCGGCTAATTTTTGTTTTCGGGCGTTTTACTTGGACCTGAAAGGACGTTTAATTGCTTCTGTTTGAAATATAAATAAAACTGCCTTGTCTAAATGAGATGGTGTAATGGATTAACTTCTAACTAAACCTAATCATTCCTTCATAAACATATGTTTAGGAAAGCAAATACCCAAGGGTATTGAGTCAGTGTCGTCGTCTTCCTCCGCTTATCCGGGTCCGGGTCGCGGGGGCAGCATCCCATCTAGGGAGCTCCAGACCGTCCTCTCCCCGGCCACCTCCACCAGCTCCTCCGGCAGGACCCCAAGGCGTTCCCGGACCAGATTGGAGATGTAACTCTCCAACGTGTCCTGGGTCGACCCGGGGGCCTCCTGCTGGCAGGACATGCCCGAAACACCTCCCCAGGGAGGCGTCCAGGAGGCATCCTGACCAGATGCCCAAACCACCTCAACTGACTCCTTTCGATCCGGAGGAGCAGCGGTTCTACTCCGAGTCCCTCCCGAATCTCCGAGCTCCTCACCCTATCTCTAAGGCTGAGCCCGGCCACCCTACGGAGGAAACTCATTTCGGCCGCTTGTATCCGCGATCTCGTTCTTTCGGTCATTACCCAAAGCTCATGACCATAGGTGAGGATTGGGACGTAGATCGACCGGTAAATCGAGAGCCTGGCTTTCTGCTCAGCTCCCTCTTCACCACGACAGATCGGCTCAGCGTCCGCATCACTGCAGATGCCAACCAATCCGCCTGTCGATCTCCCGATCCCTCCTACCCTCACTCGTGAACAAGACCCCGAGATACTTAAACTCCTCCACTTGAGGTAGGACCTCTCCCCCGACCCGGAGGTGGCAAGCCACCCTTTTCCGGTCGAGAACCATGGTCTCAGATTTGGAGGTGCTGATCCTCATCCCAGCCGGTTCACACTCAGCCGCGAACCTACCCAGCAAGAGCTGAAGGTCAGAGCTAGATGAAGCTAGGACAGTCAGTGAGTCAGTGTACTTTTCTATATAATTACGAAGATGTGGTGCCATTGGCTACTGTCTGGATCCCTCCCATTGTTTTCCTTTTACATTTTAACTTGTGACAACAGACCTGCGCAAAAGTAACCGCACAAACTTACAAGGGAACCACAAGGTCAACATTTTATTTTTCTAACTCAAACTCGTAAACAAAACATCACCTATAACAACATGGCCTCCAGCATGCCTCTTGTTTCATTATAAAAATCACTTGTGAAAAACAAGTCCTAAAGAACTGGTATGAATGTTGTTACAAGCCCGAGGCAAAAAATAAAAAATAAACTGGACACAGATGCTAAATGAGAATTTTTCCAAGTGTTTTACCAGAACAGTCATCTGTTTTCTACAGTAATGAAGTCCAGTTAAAGGAGAACAGCAGCTCCGCTGAGCGGAGTCGGCTCAACTTCCAGATTTTGCTGGAAATCTTGTTAAGAGTCGGATGACCTCAACTTAATGCTGCAACAACTCCTGGGACCTGAAAGATAAAAAGAGTATTCATTTAACAGGAATCATCAGTGTGTCTTATTGGTCAGGCAGATTTTGTTCAAGGTTTCACCACAAGATGGCACTGTGATTTCGTGAATGCCCTAAAAAGTTAATTTAAAGTATTATTTTTCATGTTTTCAATACATTTTGTAGCATTTACAGGTGCACAGAACGAATCATTTTTGATATTTGAGTAATTTTGAATTGGTTTATTTGATAAGGTGTGTTTAAGAGCGTTGTGACGTCACTTCCCGTCTCTCGTAGATTTGATGCGCACGGACTAATTTGTGTGCTTTCTTCTTCGTAAATATGTTTCTATTTTTGGCTAAATTTCCTATACACAAAAGCAAAGTCCTTGGCAGGAAACCTGAACTTCTTGTATTAAAAATGGAACTTGAACAATATATAAGGACGATCTCCTCATCAAAAAACACAAAGGCTCTTAAGTCTGTTAACATTTGTAACCATCTGAAACTGTTCGATTGACTTAACCTCTTCCAAACCTTTCTTTTTTTTATTCTTCCTTTTTCTCCATCATTTCTGTCGTTCTTCATTGTAATACCACAATGGTATACTTTGTGCTCCATGTCTTACAATTGTATGTTCAAAATGTGCTAAATAAAGTTATATTAAAAAATGGACAAATTTGTGCTAATTAAGAATATTTTCGAAGAAAGTAAAGTGTTTAAGTCTACCGGTTTGTCTACTAGCAGGCCAAAGTGGTACGTTTATTCTTTATTTATAAACTATGTTAGCTAACTTAAGGCAACTAACTTGTTAATTTGTACATGATTTATGCTTTTTCATTAGTTCTACGGTGTTCATGTGGTGTAAAGATAAAGAAGATGCAAGACCGCATTAAACATCAGTAAAAGGAACGCTCGTGTCTCTCGTGTACGTGAACAAGCCGGCACAAAAACTGAAAAACGAACGTTTATGTTTGACAGTGTTGGGAGTAATGCGGTACAAAAGTAATTAATTACTGTAATGCATTGCTTTTTGCTGTAATGTGGTAATGTAAGGCATTACAGGGAAAGAAAATGGTAATATTTACTCGGTACAATTGTCAGCACCGCGGTAATTACAATGCATTTTTAAACCCAGAATCAAGATGTGTTCCTTAAAAATTCAAATTGCGGGAAACCCGAAGAAAGATCCAGTATCTGCATATATGACGTCATTTATGGACTCAGCTTTGCGGGCAGAGAGGACGCCGCGGTAACGGCTCAACTACTCCAGCTGCAGCTGCACTGTAACATTCACAAAATCGCTCCACTAAAACAAAAATAATTCACTTGCGATCGTTGATATCAGCACATATTCTCTGGTATTTTGTGCTTTTCTGACGTGCTTTGCCTCAGCTGAGTTCATAATCTGTGCCCGCCCCGGTGATTTCAACTCATTACTGCTGGAGCGCAGCGCATGTGAAGATCCCTTTGGCTGATAAGTTAGAAAGTAGGAAATCTTTTTCTGGAAGACGGAGAAAACACGCAGCATGCAGGAAGGTTAGAGAGAGAAAGGGCAGGAAATTATTCAAATAAAATCAAGAAAAAAAGACAAAAGTAGGTAGATTTATCCCCAATACACATTTTTACCAGTGAAAAGCAATAATATATAAGCATTTAATATTTATACATGTGATAGAATCAGATCCCCCCAGAAGTCGGTCCCACATCCAGGGCCGTGTCAAGGCATTTGGGGACCAAGGCAAATACAGGCTTGGAGCCCCCACCACCTCACTCCCTGCTCAGTTAATATAAGATGGCAGCGCGGTGAGAGTACAGATTGTTGTTGTTTTTATTTAATAAACAATCATTTCAAAGCACTGTTATTATATGTGACTGTTTTAACAGCAATCCTAGCTCAGACACCACATCACCTTCCACATATGTGTCATGATCTCACTGAGCGTCACATGACCAGATTCATACTGAAGTTGTACTGGTGAAAGTAACTTAAAGTAATGCAAAAGTAGTGTAATGCCTTACATTTTAAAACCAGTAATATTGTAATGTAATGAATTACTTTAAAATGAGGGTAACAAGTAATAAATAATGCATTACAGTTTTGAAGTAACTTGCCCAACACTGATGTTTGAAACTTTTCACTTAAATCCGATCTGGTGTTAGAGTCATAAATAAACACCCACTTCTAATCAAAGTGAAGGACGCACGTGCCTCAGCTCAGATGTGGTGTTTAAAAGATAACAACGTAAAAGTAAACGAGCTCATAGTCACCGGTGGCAGCGTTAACATCATTTCCCTTTAAATGTACCTTGCTTTAGTCGTTTCTTCTTCGTCAAAGCTCGGCTTTCCTCTCGATGCTCAGCAGCTCCACTTCAAAGATAAGCGTGGCTCCTCCAGGGATCTTCGGCGGAGCTCCCCGATCTCCGTAGCCCAGCTCGGCGGGGATGACCAGCTTCCTTTTCTCGCCCTCGCACATCCCCAGCAGGCCCTGGTCCCAGCCTTTGATCACCTGACCGGTGCCCAGGGTGAAGGTGAAGGGTCTGTCTCGGGGAATGCTGCTGTCGAACTCCGTACCGTCCTCCAGTTTGCCGGTGTAGTGCATGTTCAGCACGTCCCCCTTGCGAGACTTGATGGGACAGTTGTCCACGCGCTTCTTGATCCCGATCTGGAGCTTCTTCTTTTCGGCTCCGTTCACCACCGACGGGCTAAGGGAGAGCACCGCCACCGCAACCAGCAGGAACAGCCGCATAGTCGGTGTGTGTCTGGCCCAGTAACGGGGGGTTAGGTTTCGGATAAAAGAGGAGGGAGGCAATTTTTCGGAATGAAGAAAGGAAATGAGCTGGAAAACGGATGTGCAAACAAAAGACCCGGATGTAGTTCACCGGGTGGTGTTACCACGGAAATAGTTTGGAGGAAACATCAACAAGCCAAAAAGCGTCCGCATGGGGAAAAACAATAAGCATACATTATTCTGCAAATGTATTTAAAACGGCAAATTAGCCAAACTATCTTTATTGATTTTTATTTTTACTTAATTTTTGTTCTGTTGATTCTCTTCATTGTTTGAATTGCTATTTTACGGTGATTGTTTCACACTTGTTTCTCAATAGAGAACAATGAAGCGCGTTTAACAGCATGATTGAATAAATGAAAAATAAAATAAAAGGCTGTGAATGACGTCAGCAAATTCTTCTTTTCATTTGACTATGTCGATGTGCTGATGAGTGCTCGTAAACCACCTATGAATACTACTACTTAAGTAAAGGTACAAATTAAAGACACAATTAAACACTCAAATTAAATTATCCTTTATTTGCAACTCTAGTCTTAGCTTTCTGAAACTGATCAATTCTATTATTGTGCACAGAGGGACCCCTACGATGTAAACTCAGTGAAACAAAGTTCCATTTGTTTCTGAAGCATTTCATTATTTATTTTATGTTACAATCGAAAAATTGACTTTTTTAAAACAACGTCATATCAATACTGGTGTTTTATTAAATAATGTTTAATGGGTGCATTTACGTTTTAAATATAGAATAGTCCAAGCAACGTTTCCCCTGTGGAGATAAAATACATTATATTCCATACAGAAAGTAAAAGAAAGATTATTCATGGAGATGCACATTCATAATTGATCCGCTAGGTGGCAGCAACGCAACTCAATGGATGCAAAACACCATTAAACTCTTAAGAAGAAGAATAAGCTCCACCCCCCAATGTCCGCCACCTTTTACCTGCATTCACTGTAGTCTTTCTGCTCACCTGAAGTAAGAACTTTCTGCTTATTAATTGTAATGTAAACGCTTACCGATATATCAGGAACCGTAGGTAATCATACACTCAGCCGATGAAAACTGTTGTCATTGCAGGACTGAAACGATACCCTGCGGACAAAATGCTCTCCCGGATGCTAGCTCATTTTGTCAACAATCTTCGCGTGGTTGAGAAGTTGGCGGAGTCTCGTCCGATTCGCAGGGCAGCTCAGATCACAGCTTACGCCATAACCAAGGCTCAGATCGTGGGCAGGGACACTTCGGAGCGGGTCATGCGGTCCCAGACCCTACGGCAGGTCCGAGCGGAGGCCGGTAAAGTCCCCGATGACCTGCAGGAGGTCAGCAGCCGCTTCAGGAAAGTCCGAGAGACTTTTGTTAAGGAATTGAAGGAGGGATGGAAGGATGGCTCCAGGCAGATCAAGAAATAACGAGGAACGGCTGCTTCTATGTTATTAAAGTGACTTTGCACAAAATGTAGCCTTTGTTTTGGGCTAGGACAGCAAAATGTAATGGGAATTAAGTTTCTGCTTGAGGAAATGCTGCACAAAACAGCCATCAAGTCACTGGTTTAACTGCGCCATGCACTTATGGCATCATTATTGTGTGACGACTGTGATAAAGGAGTCAGGTTCACAGCTTTCACTGGTCTGAGAAGATTTATGGTGTGGAAAAACTGACCATTTTCAAAATACTTTATTTCATAGTACAATGAACATTAGATGACACCAATTTAGCCAAATTATAGCTCTTATAAAATGTATTTTATTGGTACAACACATGACATAATACAAAAACATTGTAATCATTGTATTTATTGCCATGACTTCACATCTTTGTAAATAAAGCATGAATGCACATGTTTCAATGTATCAATAAAAATGTTATTTTAAAATACATTTCTTTGGTATTCTTGAGTTGTTTTAGTGTTTAGAACAAAAAACAAACTTGTTAATGTCAAGGAACAAGAGAAAAATAAATGTTTGCACGTTTCTGTTCAATGGGTCTATAAGGATGAATATAATTACTTATATCGTAAGATGATAACGTTGAACTTGATTTCAACATTCTTAACAGTTTTCTAATTTGTAGGTGTGAGAAGATTATCTATGCTACTGAGTCTGTGTTTTATTACAAATGGACAGTTTGTTCATCTGTACGCATTTTCCATATTTAAGTTCAGTGCGTGCTTCAGTAAGATTTGTGAATTTTATCCAAGTGGTTGACTTGCTCTCAAAAGAAGTAAAGTTTTGTTCACATTTCAAAAGAATTTTAGGAACCTACATCAAATGCAGGAAAATGTACATTGAATTTATATCGCAGTGCTCCCTTATTATGGCACCAGGAGTAGATATTAAAAGGTAAGCATATAAAATAATGACCACCATTAAATACAAACATTTAAGCGCTTATTAAGATTTGTTTTCTCTAAGAAAATTCTCATGCCTTAATCCACAGAGCCAGCCTTAGACATATGTAATTTGGCTCTTTGATTTTTTTATGTATCTAAACATAATTTAAACAAAGTAGAAATAAATGTGCAATTTGTAAAATTGATACCCTGTGGTCTATATTGGTTACATCAGTCTATTTTATTATATTTCTCTCTCTGAGTTCTATGGCTGTTGCCAGTTATGGATCAAAGACTATTGATGACAAGCATAACCAGTAAATTGATGAGTAGATACATAAATTGTCATATCTGCTGTTACCACTCTGGTGTTTTACGGTAGGGAGCACTTTCTACACTTATTACGGTAGTTTGTCTCCGGCATTACAGGAAGTGCAGTCGTTTGTCGCCTGTTAGCATGTTGTTATAGTGCTGAACGACTCATTACAGGAAGTAAAACGCCACAGTTGACTCATTCACTTCACACATACATTTCACTGTAAAATCCAGTTGTTGATCATTGAAAAAGTAGCTTGAGATATTTTTAGAGCCAATTATTTGTTTCTAATTCACCATCAGAATTGTTAGCTTAACGTTAGCCTCTAGCATGCTTCACCCAATATTAAAGTGAAATAATAAAGATGGCTTCTAAAGCCTGAAATATAATTACTGTTAATGATTTGCATTGATTTGAAGTGTTGTTTGTGCACACCCCCTGAAATGAATGCAAAGTGTTCACATGCTGTAATATGCAGGTAACTAGTAGGCAGGTCAGAATAAAGTTATGTAAAAACAAGCACACCATTGTTTGTCTTGTGAAATTCCCAATGAGTTTGATGTGTCACATGAGCCTCTTCCTATTGAAAAAACAAAAGTTGGATCCGAGATAGCCGGCTTCAAAATGGCCACCATGGTCACCATCCATCTTGAAAAGTTTGCCCCCTCACATTTACTAATGTGCCGCAAACAGGACATTAATATCACCAACCATTCCCATTTTATTAAGGTGTATCCATATAAATGGCCCACCCTGTACAATAACGCTGCTGTCTTTTTTACCGTCGTGATCTCAAAATTAACTAGTTACTAATCTCCATTAGTGACGCCATTTTTGTTTTGGTTGTACCCTGCAAACCAGGCACACATTCTGGTCTGAGTTCTGCAGTGCAGCAGAAAGTATGTGAACAAAGACGCAGTCTGCTGCCTGCCTCAACCTGAGATTAAACAGCAAACATATTCCAGGCCTTAGGGGTACAAGAAATAACTTCTGGGTCACTCCTGTTTACTGGCTTCGGTTCTTTACACAACGCTGCAGATTCGGCAACCTCACAAACTCAGACTGTAAACAGCAACTACGTCTCCCTCTATATACATTTTTCTTTTTTTTTTTTCAAAAAGAGAAAAACGGACACCCCCAGCCAGTTGAGAACGAAATCTGTTTAAGTACAACCTTCCTTCCAACATGATCGAGAAATTAGTGTTGTATGATTATTTTCAATTTCCTACATATTGCTCCTTTAAATGTGTACAAGCAAATGCCATTTGTTACTGCATAAACATGTAGAAAAATATGAGTGGAACTGGGAAGGTGTTGATAAAAATCAAGAGACCAACATAAACTTTTAGCTGTGACATCTTTTAACATTATATCAGACAAACAAAATACACTGTAGAACAAAGAATATTTTGCTGTATGCAGGTTTATTTTATTCAGACAAGCATTGACAGTTAGTAACTAAATACAGTAATACTTATGCAGACACACTGGCCTGGCAACTAAATATTAGTCACACTTATTCATTTCACACAGAAATACAACTAAGAGAAGACGGTGTCTGACCGCATGATTCAGGACATATGCACTGATATGGTATCTGAACTTCATATAAAAATAAATCTCTCAGCATAAGGAAATACACATCCAATCAACGCTTTAAAACAGAAAACAATACAGAAAGAATAACATGCTGAGCTGTTAGGGTGAGCTGTTTTGGGTGGAAAACAGAAATTAGCACTTTTCACTGAGTAATTAGCAGCAGAGTAATCTGTTGACACACAAATCATTTAGAAGAGTTGAATTTCAAATTAATTTTAACCAATTTGTGCAGCTTAAAATATATTTCTGTTTGGGTGTGCATCACATAAACCAGGGCTGCCCAGTCGTGGTCCTGTCAGGCCGGTCAGCACGTTTGAGTTTGAACTCTGCTTCAACACACCTGATTTCAATCAGCAGGTGATTAGCAGGCTTTTGCAGAGCTTGATGAGCTGCTGAACAGGTGATTCAACCTCTTACCCCGGGTTTCCACGGGAGCCGTCAGCAGCACGTTACTGCAGCAGCACGTCTTGCTCGCGTAAACTGCTGCTTGGCCCTTCCCACGAGACGCGAAGCAGCAGGGGAGCAGCTGTCACCGACAGAGCACGAAGTCACACGAGTGACTTCGTCAGTAAACACAACAACAAGCAGGAGAAAATTACAACATGGTTTGTGTTTTATGTTCTGTCCGTTTTATAATCGCCAATACGGACCTGAAAAACAAAGGAGACCGCTAGCTAGGTGATAACTTCTCACGGGGACGCACATTTAGTAACTTTTTTAAAAGTAAAGCAACCGGAAGGCAGTACGTTCTTTATTCTGAAAATCTCAGGTGCTTCTCTCCATTTCCGCGTCCGATTTCCTGTCTTTCCTTCCCCAAAAATGTCGAACTTGACCCGTTTCAGAGGCGTCGCGCGTAGGAAATAGAACCGGCGCGTAAAGGCCGCGACATGCTGCTCCAGAGACGCGGCCGACTCGCGCTGCTGACAGCTGCTGACGGCTCCCGTGGAAAAGGTTCTGTTGACCACAGCGGTTCCTATCAGCAGCTATGACGTGCTGCTGCAGTAACGTGCTGCTGACGGCTCCTGTGGAAAGCCGGGGTTAAGCAAGTGTGTAGGAGCAGAGAATCCACTAAGCCTGCTGAATACTGACCCTCCAGGACCGGGATTGGGCACCCCTGACCGTTTTCGGTGGCTCGTGTTGAGTTAACATCCACTTTTTTGTGTGAAACAAGCTTTGCAGAGAAAAAATGAAATGTGTAAAGCCTAATTTATACTTCTCCAGCAGAGAACAAATCGACTAGCAGAAGCTAACCATTAGCATTGGCAACTCCACCACTACTGCAAATGTATGGATTAAACGAGTGTTCCACACCTTTAAATGAATCAAAAGTCAGCTTCTTCTTGTTATCTTCTCAAATTGTAGGTTATTTAATCAGGTACAAGGAAAAATACGAAGAACTGAAGGGAAACATGAATTAAAGAACGAAGAGGTGCAGAAAAGTTTGTGAACTTTCAGGTCACATCCTGTTGGTCATCATAATGCTGAGCAGTGCCGTCAGCAGCAGCATCCACACAGATGAGACGACTGGAGTCAGAAAATAAAATTACACAATCATCCAGCTCTTACATGACATTTGTTTACTTCATTTTACAATTCATAAAGTTTTAGTTAGTTAAATAATGTAGCCTAAGTTCCCTTCATTTTACGCCCCTGATTGCTGCTAATTTACTTTCCTGTCTAAGAAGAAACATTTTTTAAGTTTAAATAAGGCATCATGAACATCTTTGGTACGTTCTTGCTGTGTCTGATTTCTAATTCCATTTTTGGTTCTTTTTCAAAACATAGAAAAGGTTTCTTTTTACCTTGCTGACGGTTTCGTTCGCGGCTTCAAACATCCTCAGAGCTGATGCTGATGGTGGCGTCATTTCCTACTCCGTTTATCCGTGGGCAGCAGAGGACGTTGTCGCCCTCTGCTGCCCACTCTCCCCTCACCGATGATGCAGTCCCATGCACGATCCAACGTGTAAACTCCATCGTCCCTGTTCATGGTCCCACATCCACGTCTCCTTATCTCTATGGCTTCTTTTATCCATCTTTTGTATTTCTGTTGTTCGGTGTTTATGATCCTTGTGTTGTCCCAGTCCATTATATGGTTTTCTCTTGTGCAGTGATCTGTTACGGCTGACTTTATTGTACTTTCTGCTTCTTGTTTTGCTGCTCTTGTGTGTCTTCGACTTGTTTCTCTCTCGCACTCCTTTCTATGTTCTACTGTTCGTGTGTTGAGTTGGCGTCCGGTTTCTCCTATCTATGTTTTAATGCAGAGTTTGCATGGGATTTTGTAAACAACTCCACATTTACACATGACCTGCTGGTATTTCGTCCTTTGTCCTCTGCTGCCCGCGGATAAACGGAGTAGGAAGTGACGCCACCATCAGCGTCAGCTCTGAGGATGTTTGCAGCCGCGAACGAAACTGTCAGAAAGCAAGGTAAAAAAAAAAACTTTTCTGTGTTTTAAAAAAGAACCAACAATGGAATTTGGCCTCATGAACGTTATCCCTGTGTTACGTGAAAGATGGCTGTGTTTATAAGACTGGGAAAATGGAACTCTCCAGAGTGTTGACCATTCCTTTACGTGAGTAAACGGTTCTGTGTTTCGTTTTACCTGCGCTCGACGAGTTGCATTCCATGTCGACCAGTGAGTCCAGGTAGCCCTGGCCCAGCCACTCCTGGTAGGTCTTCCTTTCACCGACGCCCACGATTCGAACAGTGGAATCTTTGAAGATGAGATCTTTACCCTTGTAGGCCTGAGAGTCAAACATCTTGAAACCGGGACCTGTGTCGCTCCCAAAATACGTCTGTAGAGACAAAGTAAAATACAATAAAAAAGAAATCAGAGGAAAAGAGGAATCTTTCTTTCTTTCTTTCTTTCTTTTTCTTTCTTTCTTTCTTTCTTTCTTTCTTTCTTTCTTTCTTTCTTTCTTTCTTTCTTTCTTTCTTTCTTTCTTTCTTTCTTTCTTTCTTTCTTTCTTTCTTTCTTTCTTTCTTTCTTTCTTTCTTTCTTTCTTTCTTTCTTTCTTTCTTTCTTTCTTTCTTTCTTTCTTTTAATATGCCTCCTTCTAAAAGGCTCTGTTATCCAGAGTTATCTCTGTAGTTATGCTGCTATAGGCTTAGACTGCTGGAGGACATACTGACCACTTTTCACACTCGACTACTTTGTTCTACAATTTGCTCTTTAACTGTATTATTTCTGCTATTTCAGCTGTTAACTTTTGTAATGGAGGTTAAAGAGTTACATTTTAATTAATGACCAGAGACATTAAAGACCCATATCTAGTATGGGCCCCATCTAATGGACACTGGGCTATTTAAATCAGAAGAGTGGTTCTTTTTATTACAGGGAAATTAAATAAACACTTTGCATGAACTGAGAGACAAGAGAAGAGAGAGAGACCTCCAAACGTTTAAGCAAAATGTATTATCTAAATGATTTTAAACAATTTAACATGACTAACTCTAGTGATGGATACTCATGGAATGAAATGTGAGGTGGTGTGTGTTGGTGTGATGTCAGTCCAGAACCTCTGTTCTGGAGAAGCGCGTCTGAGTGGGAGATGATGTTTTGCTCCTAACTGATCAACGTTTGAACCGTGGTCAGAAAACAACATGAGGCGCCATCTGTGTCGCTCTACATTACCCGTCAGTGAGACTCCCGTACAGATCAGGCTGCCAGGTTCACGACCTTCCAATGATACTGGAGTCGATGAAACAGCGTCCTCAGCACAACAAACCAGTCTTTGGATAGTCTCCAGGTAAAAAGCGACAGGTGTTTCACAGCGTCAAAGAGACCCCCCTTTGGGTCCGCGAGTTCAGCTTTTATTCTGACGGAACCGTTGTTTTGTTGATAACAACGACAGGATTTCCCAGCTTGGCGGTTCTTAGCTTAAAAGAAAAAGTACAGATGGCCGGTCCATACTTCACTTAGCGATGAACTTCAGGGGATCTCGAGATCTGGCTGAATACTGAACTTAAAATGGCGTTGCACTGTTTTATTAATCTTGATGTTTATAATTCTGGACGAATCACAGCTGACAGATTAAATAAACACCACAGAGACTCTGCCACGCTTCAGACGTGAAGGTTCTGATTGGATTTGCGACCGGAATGTGTCATGATTATTTATCTTTGTGTATCAGTGTGTCTAGTGGCTAGAATAAGTCATTTACTTATTAAAACATTAATCATAACATTGTAATTTCACAGATCGGTCACATGGTTATTATTGACTAACACTTTGATGGATTAGCTTTATTAAAATAGAGTTCTTTGATTAATTAAAAGAAAATAGTTCATTCTTCTGTCTTCACTGCTGGAATGTAAACAGTTTAGAAGCGAATGCATGACCTTGAGGCTGTTTCATGCACACTGACACTGTGTCAAAAGGAAACAGCTGTTAGGGTAGAAATGGCTCCTTCATCACGTTACACTTTATTTTTTCTCTAAGTGTTTTTCTCCCCAGAAGAAGCTACAATGATGTTCTGCTGAGCTGTGGTAGCCTCATTGAGGGGGCATCGTCTAGCACACTGCTGCTAACCACTTAAACATTCTCCCTCTCCTGATAATAACGTTTTGCTTTCTTTGACATAGAATGTGCTACTACTAGTTTACCCGTTTAATTATAGATTCACTAGGATAAATACAATAAAGTTTATCTCTCGCCAAATAGAATATTTACTAAGAAATCACAATGTAACCATAGACACACTACTTGGTATATATGTTGTGAGTGTGTATGTGTGTGTGTGTGTGTGTGTGTGTGTGTGTGTGTGTGTGTGTGTGTGTGTGTGTGTGTGTGTGTGTGTGTCTGATCTGTCTTCTCGACACCCAGTGAGTCGTGGAGGATGGCTGCTCATTCTGAGCCAGGATCCTCTGGAGGTTTCTTCCTGTTAAAAGGGAGTTTTCCTCTCCACTGTCGCTATATGCTTGCTTAGTATGAGGATTGCTGTATAGTCACTGACACTAATCAGTGACTTGATGCAATTTGCTGGGTTCCTTATATAGGAAACTTTTTACTGATTGGCTTAATGAACTGACCTGTATTGGAATGTTTATTATGTGAAGTGCCTTGAGATGACTCTTGTCGTGATTTGGTGCTATACAAATAAACTTAAATTGAATTGAATTGAATTTAACCTTGATTTAACCAGATGATTAAATTGAGAACTCATTCTCATTGACGACAATCTGGCCAAGAGGCAGCAGCAACAGACACATAATTAGCTTTACGCTAAAGAAAAACAGGTAAGATAAGTTAAAATCCAAGCCAATTTGCAAGCCAAGGTGGGGTCGTCCATGAATAAAAAAATTTCCCGGTGACATAGAAGAGAATGGCTTTTCATGTCCCGAGCATTCCATCATCTATTCTCTTTCTGCGGCTAATGCAGGAAACTGAAGATTTACACGTTCAGCATGACTGATATTTAAAAAAAGAACAGGTGTACATTTCTCACCGAACCTCACATTTCAGCTTCATAATTTGTGCTTTTATACTTTTCTACATTCAGAATTACACATGAATTTTCTCACCTGTGCATAATCCAGGAGTCCGTAGATGGCGTGAATGTTGGTATCTGGTCGAACCATCACAGCATGGGACGGTACTCTGGCCAGGTTACAGTGTTTGTATTGTGAGACTTCGGCTTTAGTTCCCTGAGAGCAAAGCAGCTGGAAATCTTTAGACAGGAGATCTACAGCCCAGGATTCGGACGAATGACCTACAAAAGGAAGAAAAGCTGATGTTCATTTTAGATTTTTAAGATAAAAGGAAAAACTAAATTAAGGAACTTGTCTTGCCATCTGTGTTTTGGAAGACTGTGGAATGCTTGACAAAAGCCACATCTCCGTCTCCACTTGCCAGACATCTGGAAAAAAAGGATCTTAAATATGAAAACAGAAATTTCATGCTTTTATCTTTAATGTAAATTTGCGTGACTTTGATTAGAACATTTATAAAGCTTCATGGCAGTGTTAACCAGCAACGTCTCTGAATTAGGGGCCAGTGGGGCCGGGCCCCTGATGCAGTTTGTGTATGTATAACAATGTTCGGAATATTGCTAAGATTGGAAGCATCCTTTCCAGGAGTGATGCTGAAAAACTAGTTCATGCATTTATTACATCAAGACTGGATTACTGTAATTCATTACTCTCAGGAAGTCCACAGAATGTAGTTAAAAGTCTTCAGCTTGTCTGAAATGCTGCAACTAGAGTTCTGATGAGAATTAAAAAGAGAGATCATATCTCTCCTGTCTTAGCTTCCCTACATTGGCTACCTGTTAAATTCAGAATAGATTTTAAGATCCTTCTTCTCACATATAAAGCTCTTAATAATCAAGCTCCATCAGACATCAGTGATCTGATTGTTCCATATGTTTCTAATCGAGCACTTCGCTCTCAGACTGCAGGTTTACTGGTGGTTTCCAGAATATTTAAAAATAGGATGGGAGGCAGATCTTTTAGTTATCAGGCTCCTCTCTTGTGGAACCAACTCCCAGCTTTAGTCTGTGAGGCAGACACCTTGTCTACTTTTAAGACTAGGCTTAATACATTTTTATTTGATAGGGCCTATGGTTAAAATCTGATGTTAGCCTAGATCTGGAGAAGTGGGGGAGTAGAGGGAGGGGGAGTGTACAGTCGGTAAAGACGGCTCTCCCTTGCCCTGCCTCCAACATGCCTCCATCTAAAAAGGCTTGGTTATCCAGAGTTATCTCTGTAGTTATGCTGCTATAGGCTTAGACTGATGGAGGACACATTGACCACTTTTCACACTCGACTACTTTCTTCTACAATCTGCTCTTTAACTGCATTATTTCCTGCAATTTCAGCTGTTAACTTTATTTTTTCTCTAAGTTTTTTTCTCCCCAGAAGAAGCTACAACGATGTTCTGCTGAGCTGTGGTGGCCTCATGGAGGGGGCCATCGGCTTGAACACTGTCGCTAACCATTTAATCTAGCTCCCTCTCCTGATAATAACACTTTATTTTCCTTGACGTTGGATGTGCTACTACTAGTTTACCCGTTTAATTATAGATTCACTAGGATAAATACAATAAAGTTTATCTCTCGCCAAATAGAATATTTACTAAGAAATCACATTGTAACCATAGAAACACCACTTGGTATGTGTGTTTGTGTGTGTGTGTTTGTGTGTGTGTGTGTGTGTGTGTGTGTGTGTGTGTGTGTGTGTGTGTGTGTGTGTGTGTGTGTGTGTGTGTGTGTGTGTGTGTGTGTGTGTGTGTGTGTGTGTGTGTGGTGTGTGTGTGTGTGTCTGCTCTGTCTTCTCCATCCCCAGTGAGTTGTGGTGGATGGCTGCTTATACTGAGCCAGGGGGTTTCTCCTGTTAAAAGGGAGTTTTCCTCTCCACTGTCACTAAATGCTTGCTTAGTATGAGGATTGCTGTAATGTCACTGACACCAGTTAGTGACTCGATGCAATTTGCTGAGTTCCTTATATAGGAAACTTTTTTCTGATTGGCTTAATGAACTGACCTGTACTGGAATGTTTATTATGTGAAGTGCCTTGAGATGACTCTTGTTGTTATTTGGCGCTATATAAATAAACTTGAATTGAGTTAAATTGAATATGTTTTTTTCTCTCTGGGGGGTTATGACATGTTGTGTCCTGCTAGGACAAGACTTTGTGCAATCTGTCTCACTGAAATCTTGCGCCGTCCAGTATTTCACCTTTCTGGAATTCTTTCAGTGTGACACGAGCAGTCCTGTGTGACAGCCAAATCTATTTGGAAATCAAAGTGTGGCAAGGTGGTGAAACGAGGGCCCGGGCGGGATTCAATCCCCAGACTCCCGGGTGAGAGTCACGCGCACTAACCAGTCAGCCAAAGGGATATCCCCTTGGTCAAGTGGCCAGGGAGCATGATCAAATGGGTTGCAGTGAAATTCACCCTGCCACAGCTTCCCCCCTCTTTCCACAAGCACGCCCCCTGTGCTCCCGCCCAGGGTGCCACAAGATTCAAGTCCATGAACCTACTTGACAGTACTACATGGTTCCTGCCAACAACACCAAATGTGGCAAGGTGGTGAAACGACGGCCTGGGTGGGATTCGATCCGAACTCCCGGGTGAGAGTCACACGTGCTAACCAGTCAGCCAAAGGGACATTCCCTTGGTCAAGTAGCCAGGGCGCATGATCAATCGGGCCACCTTCAATAGAAAGTCGTGGGGCCCAACAACTCCGGCACCAAGTTCAGATCATTCAATCAAAGTAAAGGACAAAGCACACGTAACGTCATGTTTATGTTCTGTGGGACAGATGTGAGCAGGCAGCCATGCTGGCTATCCTGGTTAGCTATCAAGACAAACAAAATATTAGGAGCACTTTGCCACTTGAACAAAAACTGGAGATGAGGGTCTCTAACTATTTGGTATCAGTAATTGTAATAATACAGCCAGGAGTCTTTCGCAGTCTCATTGGGAGTGTGGGGGGTTGCCAGCTGACGGGAAAAATGTGTGGCTGGAAAGATCCCACCAGCTGGGGATCACTGGATAAACCTTTGGGATTATTGGATGTTGACAGAGGAGTTACTGAGGGGTTTGACAAGATGGAAGTTCAAGAAATGAACACTGAGTGTTTCTTTGTGATGTCTCGTTATACAAAGTTGTGTTCCTGATTCACACGTGATACCTCTAGTTTGCTTGGTTTGGCTATGTGTGTGTGTGTGTTTGTGTGTGTGCAAGTGCGCGCACTGCTAAGTTGCTGTGTCCCACCTCATTTATCATGGCTGAGACGTCGTTGGTTAAGACCACAAAAGCTGAACTCAAAAGGCAAAAAAAAAAACGATGACTAGTTACGGAAATAAAAAGTGCACAAGATAATAATCTTGATTTGATTTAGTGAAAGCTGATTTGTCATTAGAATCTGTAACTCACTGTTTAAAAATATAAAAAAAACAACAACAACTAAATGTTTTAAATGACATACATTTGACAAAAAATCTCATTAATGTAATTAATGAACATTTTCACGAGGGTCATTTAATGAGGTTCTTATTCATTTTTTACCCCCGTGCTTTTTGGACAGTGTTTCTGCAGCCAGTACAGGTATCTGGCGAGTCGAAGCTGAAATGCGTGTCTGTGTGCATTTTCTGGTTTCTGACTGTTTGTGTGCTGTTTACTGCTGAGTGAAAAACATGCAGGGAAAAAAAAACGTCAGCCTGTCTGTGAAAACACAATAAAAAGTAATGAGAGCAAACCTAGACAAGTTTTAGCTGCTTTTTAAGCTCCTATGAGGAAAAGCTGCAGATTTAGGGGACAAATCTGAGCATATTTTAGTAATTATATTATAAATGCATACATAGTATTTAGTATTTATTGTTATTTTCTGTTAGTGTGTGTAAAGAAACTTCTGGTGGCATTGCTGCAAAAATTGAACAAAAAAGAAAAGAAAAGGGTCAAAACATGGTTGGAAAGTTTTCTAGCACCTGAAGGCACCGTCGTATCCATCATACAGGTCTTTTTCTTTTTCACACTTGTTCTGTCCTGAGCCGTCTCCCACACACAGGTCACACAGGTTGCCGGGGAAACCAGGTTGATTGGCACCAGGTACACAACTCTCTTTGAAGAACTCTCCCACCGCTAAGCATCATGAAAGATGGAAAATACACAGTCAGAGTCTGGCAGGACAGGTTATGGAGAAAAAAAAGAAATCAGTCACTCTCAGGATTTTGCAGCTTTGAGATCTGTGTGTGACAATAGATTTGGTTGTGTCAGAAAATTTTACTTCTAAAACTTTATTGTGCAAAAAGAAATTGCATAAGTAAAAAAATTATCACAGTGGCTGGAATGGGCTTCAACAGAACTAACTATCCGTTAAAGTAACAACAATCAAACTTAAGCTAGAGCTTTAGCTTGACCAGTTTAATCATTGACACCACTCTGCAGCCCTCTTGATAGATTTGTGGAGTGGGTAGCTGTTCTAGGGGGCGCACTTTACCTCCTTTACAGCTGTTAGCTGTAATGCTAGCAGTTAGCCGATAGTCAATAAAAAGTACATGAAGAAAAGAAGTGTGCTTTTTCTGTTGGCCTCATGGTGAAGCGTGGAAGTAAATAAAGGAGAGTAATCTCTTTGGAGGTGAAGCAAAGGGCTAAAACTTGTATGAACGTTGGTGCAGCCTACTCTAGTTTGGGGGGGGGGGGGCTAAGGGAGGCTACAAAATCACAGACTGATGGTGACCTGGCTTTGTTGCTACAGTGTGGATCTTTTTACTTCTTGGTTTATTTCAGTATTAGTTGGCTCAAGTTAGTGTTAGCTTGTTGTTAGTGCTAGCGACAGCAGGCTGCAGCAGGGTGGTTTACCCCATCCATCCATCCATCCATCCATTTTCATCCACTTATTCGGACTCGGGTCACGGGGGCAGCAGCCTAAGTTGAGAGGCCCAGACTTCCCTCTCCCCAGCCACTTGGGCCAGCTCCTCCGGGGGAATCCCAAGGCATTCCCTGGCCAGGTGAGAGACATAGTCCCTTCAACGTGTCCTGGTTCTACCTTTAGGTCTCCTCCCGGTTGGATGTGCCTGAAAAACCTCACCAGGGAGGCCTCCAGGATGTATCCTGACCAGGGTTGTTTACAATTGTTCTAATTCAACTTTCAACCAGTAGGGTAGAGGAGCAAGAAACTGCTCACTGTTACTTTAAGAGCCCGGCTTTGAATTAAGTAATAATATTCTTACTGAACCCAAAATAAAAATAAAACGATTACATTCTTATTTGAACATCTTAGGTGTGTTCTTGCTGTGTATTAGTCCTAATCCCATGCAGTCGTTCTTTTTAAAACACAGAAACGGTTTTGTTACCTGTTTTGTCGCTACGTTTCGCCAGCGACTGCAGGGATAAACGGAGAAGGAAGTGAAGCGCCACCATCAGCGTCAGCCTGAGGAAGCCTGCAGCCGCCGGCGAAACGTAGCGACAAAACAGGTAACGAAACCGTTTCTGTGCTTTAAAAAGAACGACAGCATGGGATTACATTCTTACTCGAAAAGCTGTTAAGAGTTTGAATAAAGAGGGTTTTGTACAAATTTTTACATTAATAAATTTTTGGAATATCAACATATAGGTATTCAATTGTATGTAAGTGAGGGAAATCCACCAGTTTTTATTATCTAGTGGGTGAATCAAGGATTTCCGTCTAAGATTTTTACATGAGCTCCTGCTTCGGCTTCTCTCGCACACACCAACCTTGTGGAATCTCACAGCCTTCACTCTGGATCAGTCCTCTCTCCATCAGCGCTGATACGGGAACGTTCCATCCGGCCGTGCGACCATATCCGGTGTGACAGGAGCGACGGCCACGCAGGTCATCAAGGTTACGGATGTCAACGCTGCTCTTTCTCACCACTGAGACAGCATAGTACATGGAACCTTCACGTTCATCTAGACAGGGAGAATGAAAAAAATAAATAAAACAACACAAGAGCTACTTGTCATTAGATCTAAACCATGTGTGTTTGTACCTGTGTAGCTCTCAGCAGCAGCAGGAACCAAACCGTAGTCCTTGCCTGCTTTGTAGATGTAACCTCCATCCAGATTTATGGCATCTGCCTCGTTGTTCTACACAACAGTGTTTGAAAAGTGATAAAATATTTTTGAATATACTTTATGTGAACACCTGAGCAGCAGAAACTGCTTTAAACATGCTTTACTTTGATTCTTTCCATGCAGTCGGTCAAGGAGTCCCCGTGGACACATCGAATGGTGGGAGTAAGGTTCTGAGTTTGGAAGGCTACACTCATGTCAGCACATTTCTGCTGCTCCCCACTGGACAGCACACACCATCTCAAGACACTGGGCATCTCTAGGATGAAGAAGAAGTCACAGGTAAATTGCGGTGTAATTAAATCAGAAGGATTAAAAGAACTGAGAGATTTAAAGGTGCAATATGTAGGAACTCTGAATAATCACAAAACAGTCCAACGTCTAACTACTGTTGGAAGTAGGGATGCTTCTCTGTTGTCGCTTGGCTTCCCGGGGCTGGAGGCCAGGAGGGGGAGCTGGCCGTCTGGTTGGGGTCTGGGGTGGTGGGATGCTTTGCTCAGCGTTGGGCGGGGGTGCCTGTTCATCATCACTCCAGCAGAAAGGGGCGAACTCTGGGGTTGTACCCATTACGCAGCAGCACCAGGACCAGAGTGAATAAGGTGTGTATGGGGAGTGTGAGTGGGTGTCTAGCATTCCTTTTTGCAAGTCTTAGGTTGTATGTGTATGTGTGAGCATGAGGGAGGGAGTGTGAGACTGTGTCTGTGTATGGCTGTATATGTCAGGTGGGGTCTTGGACTCCTCCCCTCTCCTGGGACTTCTTGTGCTACTATACATCTTCGCCTACCCTCCCCCTGCCACATTTGGTGTGGAGCGTGGTGCCTTGGTCTGCCTGAGTGTTTGCGGTTCCTGGGTCAGGGGGTTTAAGATTTTTGGAGTCTGCCTGATCGATCCTGGTGGCTGCCTGATCAGCGCCTGGCAGCGCAGGCATTTGTAATTCAACACTGGCCGGCAAAACGCAGCAGCTTTTTGTAACGATCCTTAGCAAGTAAACAGGAGCAACCTAGAAGTTGTTCCTTGTACCCCTAAGACACCACGGCATCTTTTTGTATGACTCTAATATCAGATACAAAAGGCTAGAAGCTAACACTGAGCTAATAATGCTAATAGTTAATTTGAAACAAGTCTCTAAAAAATCTAAAACTACTTTTTCAATTACCGACAACTTGACATTTTGTTGAAACATATTTATCTACTCAAAAGCTTACTGTGTATTTGACTTGTCATCTAGAAGGTTCTAACCTGCAACAGCCATGAAACTCGGTACACGGTAGTGAAAAAGTCCCCCGTGTGTTTTAATAGAGGACCGCAGTACCCAAATGTGACCCCAGGATGTCATTCTTACTTCCTTCTTACTTAATGTACTTTTCATTTTTTATTTATTTATAAAACTTATTGAATTCTTAGATTTTATTCCATATTTTGCAGGAAGGCTTCACCTGCAGGTTTACAGTCCATGGCTCTCATGACGTTGTAATAGTTGCTACCCATCCACTTCTTTGGGTCGTCGGACTCAACGCCTTCAAACATGGTGGTTGATTCGGAAAAAAGGACAGTTCCCCCTCCGTAATCCGCTGACGAGAACATCTTGAAGCCGGACTTTTGCTGAAAAACACAAGATTACACTTGTGATATAAAGAAACCTCATGGTAAGTTTTCACCTCGATGATGAAACCATTTACCGTCCACCTGGACTCGTGAGCCAAACCTAACTCATAAAGAGATTGGCTCACCAGTTCAAAATGTTTTTAAATCATTTGTTTGAAACCTGGATCTCTTACAGCAAGAGCTCAAAGTATATGTAAAACACAGTGTGATGACTGCCACCTTTGCACTTACCAGACCTTCCTTCAACATGTTGAACACCACAGAGGGAGTGATGTCACTGTTAGTTACGACGCCACGAAATGGGATTCGAACAAGATGGCACCTTTTCCAGTCAGAGACAGAAGCTCTGGTGCCGTCGCGACACAACAGCTGATAGTCTGATGATTTCAGGGCCTGTGCCCATGCTGGGCCTTGACCTGGGGAACAAACAGCAGTTAAGCCACACATGGGCAAATAAAATGAGTCTCTATTGCTTATGTGCTGACTAAACACGTCATGTTGAGTAAAATGTTACCATTGGTGTTGTCCAGGACTGTAGTGTGTTTAATGAAAGCCACCTGTCCCGCATCTTCAACCAAACATCTAAAGAGAACAAATACAAAGAAAGATGCTGGGATTTGACAAATAGTGAGCCAACTTTGTTCACCTATATAAAGTTAATCTTGAGATTTTGTATTCAACGTTTGAGGCTAAGTTACTACCTTGTAAGCACAATGAGCATTTGGAAACATATTTTATAGCGTATAATGTACTTTATCAAATAACACAAGCCTGAAGGTCTACCATAGCCCCCTCCATGTGGTGCCCTCATGGAGGGGGCTATCGTCTTGAACACTGTTGCTAACCATCTAATCATTCTCCTTCTCTTGATAATAACATGTGCTACTTCTAGTTTACCCGTTTAATCTTAGATTCACTAAGATAAATACAATAAAGTTTATCTCTCACCAAATACAATATTTACTAAGAAATCACAATGTAACCATAGAAACACTACTAAGTATATATGTTGTGTGTGTGTGTGTGTGTGTGTGTTGGGGGTTAGTATTGATTCAGTCGATGGTAGAAGGGTTTGAAAAGAGAAAAGCAAAATAAGAAACTGAAATTAAAGTCTGGGTTTGTTGTTAGGTCACCACTCAAAGAGTCGACAATGAGTGTGTGCGACAACGTGCGGCTGCTTGTAGAAGAGTTGCATAAGGGTTGCAGACAAACAAAGAAGAAAAATACCAGCTATGGATCTTTCTGGCATTCTTTTATAGTCTGGATTTTTTCAGTATATCCTGGAACTGAGTGGTCAGTGCTGGTTTTTCTCTCTTTCCACAAGGCACAGAGGCATGGCTCACCGTGACTCTGCGGTAGCATGACTGCGACCGGTGTTTAAATATTGCTGATGTTGAAGTGGGGGATGTAGATTTAAGCAGGAGTTGCTATCATGTGACGTGCTATCACAGCCTTGATCGGAACAGAAGTTTTTCTCTCACCTTTTTAACATTTCTAATTTACATAAAAAGTAGGTCACACACAGCTTTGAATATTTAGCATGCTAAATGCGACCACCCAAGCTGGTTTTATTCAACAACACCAAGAAAAAATGTGCCTTACCTTCTACTGCCTCTTTAAATGATAAATGACCCGCACTTGTATAGCGCCTCTCAGAGTAAGGACTCCGAAGCACTTTACACTACAGTGTATCATTCATCCATTCACACACACATTCACACACTGATGGTGATGAGCTACGATGTAGTCACAGCTGCCCTGGGGCGCACTGACAGAGGCGAGGCTGCCGAGCACAGGCGCCACCGGTTCCTCCAACCACCACCAGCAGGCAACGTGGGTTAAGTGTCTTGCCCAAGGACGCAACAGCAGAATTCTCTGTCCGGAGCCGGGATCAAACCTGCAACCTTCTGATTACTGGACAACCTGCTCAACCTGTTGAGATACTGCTGCCCCCTTAAATTCTTAATATAAGAACTCTCGATTAAAAGGTGTTCTCAGAAGTGTGGACGCAGATGTTTTATAACATTAACTTGGGCTGTGGTGGGCACTAAATACAACAGTAATACAATTACTGTGGGCTTTTCAGTAAATGTTGTAACTGTGTGTCTAGCTCAATCTTATTGTATTTTTGTGTGTATTTTTCCTAACTCGCCCCACCCACACACTCTTTCTGTCTTCTCCATCCATTCGCTTTCATTTCCATCTCCGTGTCCATTGGGATTAAAATTCACCAAATGCAATTTTAATAAAGTTCTTATATCTGGCGGAGCATTATAGCTGAAGCTGTAAAACTTCGCCCGTGAGAGTAAAGCTTTAGGTCTTGTGTGGCACTTAGACATCACTTCTGATTGCTTTACAGCCAAACAGGACACGGGGCGAATAAAAAAGAAACCCCTCTAGATTACTCACATAGGTGAACAGGTTCTGCCTCCTAATTTACAAGAAACTTGTCCATTTTATCTATTCCTCACCCTTAATTGATGCTTAATACACACTTATTAATGAATATTTTATAAGAAGCATTTTCTTGTAAAGTGGTATAGACTATGTAGTTGTCCAAACTCTCTTTGTACAACATATTTTCAGCTTTATTTAGTTATTTTGTACATTTTTTCTCTCAAATTTAACCTGTAACTTGCATCAAGCAACAACATGTATTACCTAAAAGCTCCTTCGTAGCTGTAGTACTTCTCTTTGTCACTCATCTCACATTTGTGCTGTCCGCTTTCATCTCCTTTGCAGAGCTGACACAGAGACACGGGGTCACCAGCCTGGTTGGCTCCAGGGATACAGCTCGCGTTGAAAAAGTTAGCAACACCTGATCAAGCACAGGCAGAAAGAAATATTCATTAATATAAAACATGTTGCAGCTGTACTTGTTTCAGACAAAGCCTGTGTTTAACAAAGTTTCTGCTCATGTCTCATCAAACATTCATAGATTTTCCATTATTTGTGTTTTCTCCAGCTTTCCTACCTTGTGGAATGTTGCAGCCCATCACCGACATGTAGCCCTGGTCTATTAAGTATCCCAGAGGCATATTCCAGCCAGCGGTCCGGCCTTTCCCAGTGTGGCAGCTCTTCTTTCCTTCCAGGTTGTGGATGTTGATGCCGGAGTTTGCTGCCTTCACTACGGCAACTGCATAGTAGGAGCTAATATCTGGGGAAATAAAAAGATCACAATGAAACACTGGCTGGTTCAGCAGTCTCATTATCAGGGAACTGATAGATCAAGAGGACAAAAGTACATCCCAACACTCTGGTTGCACAAGTTCATATTCAATACAGGGATTACAGTCAAGATAGCAGGTGTCGCAACTAAGAATGTGCTTGCATAAATGCCATCTTATCTGCAATATTAACTCAGGTTATGTGTAGAATTATACATACTCTCATCAAAAAATTTCACAGAATTAATGTTAATATGAAACCAATAAAATGAAAATATAAATTTTCATTTTGATGGGAAAACATAGATTTTTCTTACTCTATTTTTTTATAAAGTCATTCACAAGTGGTTCTTAATCCTGGTCTTGGAGGGCCAGCGTCCAGCACATTTTAGTTGTTTCTCTGCTCCAGGACACTTGATTCAGTGGTTTATTCACCTGTGCTCATCAGGCTCTGCAGAAGCCTGTTAATCATCTGCTGATTTAAATGTGGTGTGTTGAAACAAGGTTCAAACTAAAACATGCTGGATTACGGCTCTCCAGGACTAGGATTAAGAACCACTGCTCCAGTATAAATACTCAAAATAATTTTATAATCTCTTCACTCGAATCAAAATTAACTCCTCGTTCTAAAAATGTGCATCACAGTAATTGGGACTCCATCCCTCTATTATCTGAACCATTTTTCCGCACTAGGGTGGCGGGGAGCTAGTGGCAGTCAAGAGACGGGGGACATCATGGACAGGTCTCCAGTCCATCAAAGGGTCTAACATGTTCATGCCTGATTTTTTAAATTTATTTATTTTTTGGTCAGTTGGAGGAAGCTACATGCTAATTCAGCGCAGAAATGCTGCAGCTCGGATTTGAACCTGTAACCTCTCGCTGCAATGCTGATAATGATTCCTTCAATCAATCAATCAGTCAATCAATCAATCAATCAATCAATCAATCAATCAATCAATCAATCAGTCAGTCAGTCAATCAATCAATCAGTCAGTCAATCAATCAATAAATCAATCAATCAATCAATCAATCAATCAATCAATCAATCAACCAACCAACCAATCAATCAATCAATCAATCAATCAATCAATCAATCAATCAATCAATCAATCAATCAAATATTATCAGCTATTATCAATGAAAGTTAAAAGTTCTACCTCCAGCTTTTGATTCACTTGCAACCATCTTGAAGTTGGTGGTCTTTGTGGCAGCATAGATTTCAGTGGCAAACATGGACAGAGCATCAACGTCTTTAGTCTACGGAAACAGAAAAGATCACAATTCTGATGTCAAAAATGAAAGCCACGACTCAGAGAAACACACACAGAGCTGCACTACCAATTCATGGTGTCATTGCTGCCAATTGTTTCAGCTTCTTATCCTGACAAGAGCTACAGTAAGTGTTTAAACGATCTGGTTTTGTCCAATTCAAATCTAATGATATGCTTACGTCATACATTACCCATTGCATTACCAGATGCCAGTAAGGGGGTTAGGATTAGGGTTAACCCTTTCCATCGAATTGCTTTGTCTGGCTCCTGATTGCTGCTTATGGCATCCAGATGGTTGAAATACCTTAACTAAAATATTGCAAATGTTGTTAATGAAATCTCACCTTCAGCTTCTGAATGCAGCCTTCGATCGTTGGCCCATGGACGCAGCTGAGGGACGGACGGATGGAGACCGCTGAGAAAGCCTGCGACATGGCCTGACATTTCTTCTGCTCAGGGTCTGAGATGGTGCACCATCTGATGGTGCTTTGGCAAAATGCTGCATAAATTCAAAAAGATGACTTGATATTATGTAAATTAACAATTTGTCAAAAAAAAAAACAGGAAGGTGTGGAAATGTCTGCTAGAGGTCTGGAGCTTGAGCTAGAATTGTTCTAGAAAATTCCTAAAGAGTTCTGGACGTGTAGATGTTCTAAATCAGCACCATATTCCCCAAAAAGTAGGTGATGATCAATGTTTTGTTGAAAATTATGTCAAATCAGCAGTCTGTATTTTCTTATATAAGCAAAAAGCATGAAGAGCTACCAAACTTTAAATATATTTAGTCAAACTTAACATTTTTCTTTAACAAAACTATTATTTTACTTCTTCTGGTGCAATTCATCATGTATCTGATTTATTTTTTTTGACATTTCAATATATTTCTACACCTATTTTGACTTTAACGTAGAAAGTCCTGCTACTAGTTTATCCGTTTTTAAAAATGTGACTTCTCTGTCTTCTCAAACCCCCCAGTGAGCCTTGGCGGATGGCTGCTCATACCGAGCCAGGTCTGCTGGAGGGTGTGAATGTGTGTGTGTGTGTGTGTGTGTGTGTGAATGGTTGAATGATACACTATAGTGTAAAGCGCTTTGGAGTCCTCTGGCTCAGAAAGGCGCTTTACGAGTGCAGGTCATTCATCAATCTTCCTGTTAAAAGGGAGTTTTCCTCTCCACTGTCGCCACATGCTTGCTTAGTATGGAGATTGCTGTAAAGTCAAGTCAGTGACTCGATGTGATCTGTTGGGTTTCCTTACACTGGAAACGTTTAACTAATTGAAATAATGAACTGAACCCAATGCACTGATCAGTAGGTTCAATTGGAATGCTTACTTTGTAAAGTGCCTTGAGACGAGTTTGTGAATTGGTGCTATACAAATAAACTGAATTGAAATTTAATTGAATTTTGCCTTTTTTATTTGTACTTCAATAAAGTAAATTTGTTCAGTTCATTGAATTCTCACAGAAAATGCAAATCACATCAATATGTGTTCTAACTTGTTCATTTTTATAAAGAAAAGTCAAATATTTGTTTACTGCTAAACTACATCCACACAAAAAACTAGCTGAGCACACTGCACTGTACAAAAACATCCCAAATGATGACAGTTAAGACATATTTCTATGTAAAATACCTATTTACATATAGACGTGTCTTATTTAGGTAATGAAGGACAAAAGACACCTTACCAGTCTGTAGAATTAGCAGTAGAGCTCCGGCAGTCCTCCACGTGGCCATGGTCTCAGCCGAGCTCCCTCACTGTAAACCTCCAGTCCCTTTCTCTTCAACTTATATGACTGCTGTGTCAAAGTCTGTCTCCTATCGTCAAGGTTAAAGTCCTCGCGTGAAGCTTTTAAAAATTAATTAACAACTAAATCACCTGTAACATCTGGGTCTCGGAGTTCACGAGGCTCGGTGCAGCGTTTGTAACGTGTACCTGGTCTGACACGTCTCTGCTGTTGACATCTGGCTGAAGGCCAAATCCTGGACAGAGGAGCCTTTTCAGGTCTACACTCAGTCCTTGCTTTTCCGCTTTACATCTTTCCTGCACTCGTGTGGTGCTTTTCCACAGAAATCCTAAAAAGATTGAGGCTGTTGGTGCCTGACTCAAGGCTCTGATGAAAACCCACAGACAAGGAGCCTGTTTACCTGCAACTTTAACCTTGTCTCCAACCACAGAGGGTGGCTTTTTAGCTAGCTTTGTAGCAGATGCTCAATCTTGCAGTAACTATTGCAATTAAAATAGTTTCCCTTAACTGCAAATTTCTCATTTTTGCACCACTTGTTGGCTTTCAGCTGAAGTTTTCATTCCCAAAAGCAGGATTTCATGATTTTGGTTAATCAAAAGAGCAATTTTGACATAATACACTTCTGGAACGAAAGACCATCCATCCATTAAAAGTCATAAAAAACCAATTAAACTAGGAAAAACAGTGATATTCGCTGGTGGGGTGAGGAGAGCAGAAGGCGCTTCCTGTCAGCATCAGCTGATCTGAATCTGCTGAATTCCTCTTTAAACAAGAGTTTTGTTTACTCATATTGTTGTCACAGAGCTGAGGTTTGCATCTTATTTACAAGTTTCCGACTCAGCTATATTGCTTTCATCACACTGAGCTTTCCTAAATGGTCACGTACAACACGTCCCGTATGGCAGGTGGACATTATATGATTTTTATGAGACTTTTAAAGATGTTCCTGATTTTTGTGCTGCTTTTTATTTGGAGTCTTATCTTAACTGTTCATTTATTCAGTATTCTACGTTTTTTTTTTTTTTTTTTTACTGTATTGTTGCTCAACTGAACACATGACGATAATAAATAGAAAGAAGTGATGATGTGAACTTTGGATGTCAAAGACAAAGTTGAAGATTTGTGTAGAAACCACCGGTGACTGTAGAAAAAGTTCTGGAGACGGAAAACCAAACAAAAAATTTATCACATTTTTTGCAAGTCCACTTTATTTTCAGCTGATTTGTTTGTTTCAATGAATAGAATATACCTCAGATATCTGTATCTTTTCACATCCATGTTAATGTAACGTGATGAAGGAGCTATTCCTACAAGGTTATTTATCCTCTATCCACAGTTGCCTTTGACACGGCGCCAGAGTGCATGAGACAGCCTCAAGGTCATGCATTTGCTTCTAAACTGTTTACTTTCCAGCAAAGAAGACAGAAGATGAAGAGACTCTTTTCTTTTAATAAATCAAAGAACTCTATTTTTAATAAAGCTAATCAAACAAACTGTTAGTCCATAATACAATGTGACCGATCTGTGAAACAACAATGTTATGATTTATGTTTTTAATAAGTAATATGACTTAGTCTAGTTCACTAGACACACGTAATGAAAACAATCACATGACACATTGCTGTTGCTGATCCAATCAGAACCTTCCTAGTCTGACGCGTGGCATAGTCTCTGCGGTGTTCATAAATCTGCCAACTTTGATTCAACCAGAATTCAAAACATCCAGATTAATAAAACCAGTTCAACACCATCTTAAGTTCAGTTCTCAAGATCCCATGGAGTTCTCCGCATGCTAAGCGAAGTATTGGACCGGCCATCTGTACTTCTCTTTTTAAGCTGAGAACCATCAAGCTAGGAAAAATCTGTTGTTTTTACCAACCAAGCAACGGTTCCTTTCAGAATAAAAGCTGAACTCTCTGACCCAATGAGGGTCCCCTTTTGACGCTGTGAACCACCTGTTGCTTTTTACCTGGAGACTATCCAAAGACTGGTTTGTCGTACTGTCGACGCCGTTTCAGTGGCTCCAGTACCAGGAGAGGGTCTGTGGACCTGGCATCCGGATCTGTACAGAGGTCTCAATTCTGAGGGTGTGTGGATGCGACAATATGGCGTCTCATGTGGTTATGAAACTACTCTGATCAGTTAGGAGCAAAACATCATCTCCCGCTCAGACTTGTCTCTCCGGATACGAGGGTTCTGAATGACACTCATTCACACACACACCATCCATCTCACACCTCATTCAAACAGAACGTCCATCATTAGCAGAGTTAGTCTTGTTTAGATTGTTTAAAATTATTTAGTAATAAATCATCTTAAATGGTTGAAAGTCTCTCTCTCTTCTCTTGTCTCTCAGTTAATAAAAAGTATTATCTAAATCCCTGCATTAAAAAGTTCCAATCTTCTGATTTAAATAACCCAGTGTCCGCAAGATGGATTTCATACTAGATATGAAATTTTAATGTCTTACGGTCCTTAATTAAATATATTTTTGATTTTATCCCCAAAAAAGCATAAATGTTTCTGGAGAAACACTCAACAACATGATGAGCAGCAGTCATTGGAGAAAGAGAGACTTTTGGAATTTAAATTTTGCATGTTCAGCCTATTTAATGTAACATTAGTAATTTAAAACAGATGTTACTGTCATGATCTTCAGTCATCCTGCCTCTCTACATTGCTGTGCCCCACCTAACTATGCTCACCTGTTGCTTCTCTATTCATGATTGTCTGTCTTATCATCTCCACCTGTGTCCTTCAGGATATACGCTTCCTCCAGCCACTACTCTGTGCCAGATTATCTGAAGCTCTTGCAGACGAAATCCAGCCTTTATCAAGCAAAGCCCTTCTACATTTTTTGACCCTGTCTCAGCTCCCAGGACTCCTGCCCTTGCATGCTAAACCCCACAGACCTGGATCTCCCAGCTATTGACCCCTGCCTCCTCTCTGATTCCTCTCTGCCTGCTGGACCTTGGTGCCTTCCTGATATCCAACTCTCGTGTACCCACCTGGACTGTACTCATGACCACGCCCCCTGGATTGCCCTCTCTTGGTGAGAGATTGCTAACCATCTGCTCTGTCTATGTTCCAGTGCTGCTTGTCAGGAAACTCAGCAGTCCAGCTAACGGTTCCTGTGCTCAGCATCTGGGACAGAGCAATAAATCCTCACCAATAAAGAACTATTACTGCCATGGACGTTATTTTCAGTTTAAAAGTGTGTGTGTGTGGGGGGGGGGGGGGGGAACATGGGGGGGAGGGGGGGTATCTTTACAGTATGCTCTAATGGGAAACAGGCTTCAACACAAACGGTTGTTTTCCGCTTGGTCCTAGAGCTCAACCAGTGTCAATTTAATATAGTGTAATATTGTTTTTGGATAGTAAAACGTGCAGGGGTCAAAACCTGACTTTGGAAAAAGTGTGTGTGTGGGGGGGGGGGGGGGGGGGATGTCCCCCCTGTCCCCCCCCCAAAAATTACGTCCATGATTACTGCTTCATTCTGGTGTTGGCTGAATTCTTGGGACCGATTCACTCCAGGTTCTGGTTTTTACAGTTGTTGCTGATTTCAGTTTCTCCTCATCCCCTTCAAGGTTTTTTTTAAATACATTTTTCTGACTTTTTTTTTTTTTATCCGAAGCGACTTAAAATGTACCTAACATGCTTGTTTCTGGTCTGCCTACATGACATCTATTCTGTTCTGTTAAGATTTAAACATCTCTTATAAATGCTTTTTGATTCCAAATTGCAATTTTTATAATATAGATCTGTTCTACTTTACAATAAGGCTCCCCTTTAAAATGCTAATACTTTAGAAATTATTAATTAACCTGTAAAACTTTATAAATGTGTGTTAGGGTGAAAAGGACGCAATACTTGACCAGTTTCTTGCCAAATAGTGAGACATCTGTTCACCGTTTTAATAGGAGACTTGTTGTGAAGTGGTTTTGGATATCAACAGATTCTTCTGTGCTTTGTTTTCATGTCTGACTTTGGGACAAATTGACTAGTGAACAAAACATCTATATACACTGTAAACTCAGGTTAGTTAGCCTGACTTGAAAGAAGCATGAAAACTGATTGCACTTAAAACAATAAGTGCATGGGAGTAGGTAATTATGTATTGGTCACTAATACTTGCAAATACAAATTTATTTACTACTTAATACTAAATGCATTGCTGCTTAAAACTTCTTTCTGAAGTATTTCTCTTATCCAATGGCACAAATCTAGCGGCTGACAAGCATATCACACTTCTGTTTTAAGATGGCGACTTCACGTTTCCGTTTCTAAACGTGCTTCTGTAGCCGACAAACAGAGCTAAAACACGTTTTACAAATATTACTCTAATGTCACGTGTTCTCATATGTTTATTTTTAGACTTGTCCATGAAAAGTGCATCAGCCGAGGTATTATAATTGAAGCATGTAAGCGGTAGTTTAACGCTATTGGTTGGTTCTGGTCGGCGCTCAGTTCCCTATTGCACAGAGCTCTGCGGGGCAGGGGGCGTGCTTAGCAAAAAAAGATGTATCGCTTGCATTATATCACAGTACATAAGGTCGCTTTTAAGGATTTCTGACAAATCATACATTTCTGAAGGCGGAAAACTCCAGAAAGCTGCTTTAAGCTGTCCTCCCTACTTCTGAGACTATAGCTGGAAGCAACTCTTGTCCGTGAATGCGCACCTCTAGCCGGCCAACAGGTCTAGAACACACCGTTTATTCATATATAGATTTTAAAGGTCAACTTTACTCATATTTTTAACACATTTGCAGGGGTCTGCCAGGTTTAAAGCCTTGAAAAACACACTGTTACACTTCTCAAAAGACACGGGCAGTAAATAAGCCATCAGGTCACATGCATAGACGTAATCTACATAGATAAGAAAAATCGTATTTCTGCATTAGACTTTTATTTTGACACTCATGCCTCGTGCGGAAATTGATGCATCCCAGAAATAACCTTACCTTGTGTTTGTACTACAGCTTTCTTAAAGTTTCCGGAGCACAAATAAATGAGAATGTGTTGCTGCTGCACCTGCAGACATCAGCTGTGATCTCTGATGGATTATTGAAAAGAATGTCCTAGTTGGCAACAATCTGCAGTTTAGTGTTGTCTAGAAATGTTTATTTGTATTATAGTGCAAGTTAAGAGAATAACAGTAATGTTCGGATGTCCAGCGTGTTTTTGTAAACACTGTTACCGTCTCCTGTGCACTTATACTGTAACTTTAAAGAGCAAGTCACCCCCTACCAGAGTATTACTCCACTCCCACTTCCTGTTTGAAAAATGCAACAAATGCTGTTGTCTAGCAGACCGAGAGGGCAGAGCCGCTAACAAATACACACACAGGCTCAAAACGATATTGTGACATCATATGGTACCAGCTACCATTCTAGGGTAGCTCTTAGCCAATAGTGTAATGTCCTGAAATGGCAGATTGCAGATGGCATTTAAATTAAACTGCAGTGCAGAGTTTTTACCTGACAACGGCACAACACTGACAGATTTAGGCAGAACATTTTAATTTTAACTAAAATGCACTTAAGTGCAAAACTATTGACTACACGTGTCTGCAGCACGATTAGACACGCATTTATATAGTTTATCAGAAAAAAAAGTTGATTTGGGGGTGACTTGCTCTTTAAGTTGACAAGTAACTCTCCAAAGAGAGGCAAACAATTAAAAAATACGTAAAATAAATAAGGCTGGATTACCAATAAATGACTAATTAACACATCACTACAAAGCAACAGTGGAGGTTGGAGTAAAGGAAAATATAACATTTCCGTAGATTATGGAAAATTCATATTCACACACATTCCACATCACAAAATAAAGAACCATGGTCAAAGGTAAAGTGACTTCAGTAAATCTCATTAAAGACTTTTATTTTTATTTGTACCAAAATAGGCAGTTAGAGCAGGGACAAATATTATAATATGTTAGATATAGATCCATCTCTCAAACAGATTCTTTGCATCGGTGCTTTACTCTCGGACAGTGGCATGGGTCCCCCGGCTACAACACATAGCCAGAGCCACACAGATCCCAGTTCTGTCAACCAGTGAATGGCAAACATTTACCGGTGCGTCGGGAGGGTAGAAATGGGAAAATGGGGAATCACATTTATTTAGAATTTGGAGGTTTATTAGTTGACAGAACCGTTTTCCTGTACGTCTCTGGTCTCCAGCCAGCTTGGAGGAGTCGCCTCGGGGTTGGAGGTGGAAATGGGGAGTGGGTGGCTGACGAGGTCCATACAGGGGGCTGTGTCATCAAAAGCATCTTGAATGTTACACTTGACATTAGATTATCATCACATTTCAGGTTATTACGATTTATGACCCCAGCACATTGAGCTTAACAAGCTAAAAGGTTCCCATAGATATTTAAGCAAAGACATGAAGTGTGAAGTAAGGATGGAAAATTAAACATCACGTGGAGTGCTGAGGTCCCACATGCTCACAAAGACTAAAAGTTCCAACTCATCCAAAACCGTTGGCTAAAAATGTCGTGCGGTGGATTAACATTCACCAGTGGATTACGTGTGACTTCTTAGACATTTAGCAAACTGGCTGTAAATAAAACTGCTCTGATATTTAATACGCACTGTAAAACAGGTGAGCGTGAACAGACTGCATCAACTCCTGTCACACGTGATGCTTTTAGAAAACCAGCCCTCATCAGTGCGACTACAGCGAGACGGAAAGCTGTAACAATGATGCTGATGATTATGATTGTGATGGTAGCATAGATTAAGGAGATGAGACACTATTTAATGTGGAAGAGCTGAAGTGACGCCACACCGGGTTGGAGAGGAGATGACAAGAGATGGAGGACTCCTAGTGAGGCAGAGAAGCCGTCGTGGGAGGAAGACTCTTTAAGAAGATTAATATTGGAGAATCTGAGCCTGTACTTATAAACTACTGACTATTTTTGTTTTACTTTGATAAATGTTCACTAACCAAAATAAAAAAAAGATTGTTTTAACCATTTATTTCAATCTTTTCAATAAATATTTAGCAAAGTTTGCTTTGAGTTTAGTTGCTTTTCATCATTTCTTCGATCTCTGATTGGCTGCTCTTGAGATGACCTCTCAGAGACTTGGTAAAACTCTGAAAACTCTTCTAAAAGTCAAAGTTTTGAACCATTCGACTCTAAAATGAACTATTTATCGTGAGTGAAACAAGAGTTTAACATCAGGACTGAGCATTTCCAACGATGTCAACAACAGACAGCTATAAATAAAAAAATAAAAAAATTGCAAGTGGGGCTGTAGGTTGTGTATTTAAAGTAGCGGCCAGTGCAACAAATGTTGTCAAACTGAAAAGCATTAAAACATTACAATGGGGGGGGGGAATCACTTCATATCTAATTAATGCCTTTTTTTCACAACAGAAAGTAACTAGTCCCAAAAATAGAAGCTCTAAATTGTCTCCACCACCATTATAAAGGTTGTTTTTGGTAGTATAACTCTACTTTCTGCAATGTAAACTAAATACTTTGTTTTCAAGCCCAGAAACTCTGAACTGATTACATCTATTTTTCTTGCTACATTGATAAACAGTAGCTGCTCAATACTTTGGCCCTGAATGCAAAAATTGCTGCGGAAACAACATTATTACAATAATAAAATCCACTTTATATCTAAAGGTTTAGGAATTTAAGAAGAGAGAAGGATGGGGTGAAAGGATGAGAAATGACATAGAAATAATATAAAGAAATGCCATGAGTAAAGACTAGTAGATAGAAGGACAGACAAGGAAGAAGATCAAGACTTTGTCCCACAAACATGCTCTTAAAGCTACAGCGTGCAAAAGTCTGCCTCGTGGTGACAATATTATCATTACAAACCATACATGAATGCATCACTCTGTTAATATGAAAACAACGACAACAATAAGAAGAACAGTAACGAAATCAGTTAGAGAATGGTACACGTTGCTTTGATTTGAACCAACTCCTTAAACATTAAGGAACTGAGCTGTAGGAAGATCCACCAATAGGCTGCTGCAGAGACATAAGCCCCTCCCAGTTCAGGAAGAAGTGGTCCCAGAAAGTCCCAGCCTTGCTGACTTCATGTGCTTTTGTGAATACATGTGTTAATGTAAAAGAGAGAAAGCAGGCTGATAATATAAAAAATGAACAAGTGGGAAGTGATGAGCGAGTGATGTGTGTGCGCGCGTGTGTGTGTGTGTGTGTGTGTTTATTCAGAGTCGCTCCTTGGTGGGCACCCAGATGTAAGGACCAGACTGCTCCTCAATGATCTGTTTCACCTGTGAGTAAATCTCATCAAGAGATGAGCCCTGGACAATAGCTGCGAGAGACAGAAACAATGAAATCAGTGTTCTGCAGGTGTGCTGATTAATAGAACATCATAATAACGGTCCAGTCGAACGTTTCTTTCTCAAAGTTTTTGCAACAAGTAGTAATTTTACATTTTTGGCATCAAATTTGTTTCAAAAACATTTGAAATTGAATTAAACTGAGATGCAACCTTACAAAAAGCACGGAAACGTTTCGTCAAACAGCCAGACGTGTGAATTTTTGTGTGCATCATTTCATACAAAATACATTTTTTCCCCCTTGCTGCTTTCAGGGTCAGAATAACTGCCTATATTTGTGTTCAAGGTCTCGTTCACTAAGGAAGTGAATAATATAATACCGGTATATGTTAACTTTCTTTTTTCTCTAAGTGTTTTTCTCCCCAGACAAAGCTATAATGATGTTCTGCTGAGCTGTGGTGGCCTCATGGAGGGGACCATCAGCTAGCACACTGCTGCTAATCACTTAAACATTCTCCCTCTCCTGATAATAACTTTTTACTTTCTTTGACATTGAATGTGCTACTACTAGTTTACATGTTTAATTATAGATTCACTAGAATAAATACAATAAAGTTTATCCCTCGCCAAATAGAATATTTACTAAGAAATCACAATGAAAACATAGAAACATTACTTGGTGTGTGTGTGTGTGTGTATGTGGTTGTGTGTGTATGTGGGTGTGTGTGTGTGTCTGCTCTGTCTTCTCGATCCCCAGTGAGTCGTGGTGGATGGCTGCTTAAGCTTGGTTTATGCTTGACGCATTCACTTTCCGCGCGGTGATGCGGCTCGCGGATGGAACGCGCTTCACAACTCGCAGCGTTTATGGTTCGTGCGGCTTGTCTCTGCGGTGAGCCAATATTCTCCCAAACTGTAGGGGGCAGCATGGAGCTCTACGGCATGCATCCAACACCACACCATAGTAGAAGTAGAAATTACTGTTTACAACATGGCATTTCAGCATTTTTAACAGCGTCCTCGTCTTTTCCGACAGTGCGAGCTATTTCTCTCCAAGAATTATTAACAACATGTTGATCACGGTGATCTCTGAGAGCTGAATCATACAAATATCTGTATTTACGAACCTCTGCCATACTAGTTCTTGCCGGTCCGCCATGTTTTTCCGTGTCCGTCCGTCCGTCCGCGTGGTTAGAAATTTTCTGAGGTGCGCGTTGCGGAAATCTTGGGCCGTGCGGAGACGCGGTGGAGGGGCGTGGTTGTTAAAATGACGCAACTTTTCCGCGCAGAGCCGTGCGGACCTTGCGGACGCGTCAAGCATAAACCAACCTTTATACTGAGCCAGGATCCTCTGGAGGTTTCTTCCTGTTAAAAGGGAGTTTTCCTCTCCACTTTCGCTAAATGCTTGCTTAGTATGAGGACTGCTGTAAAGACTCTGACACTAGTCAGTGACTCGATGCAATTTGCTGGGTTCCTTACATAGGAAACTGTTTTCTCATTGGCTTAATGAACTGACCTGTATTGGAATGTTTATTATGTGAAGTGCTTTGAGGCGACTCTTGTTGTGATTTGGCGCTATATAAATAAACTTGAATTTAATTTAATTAATATAGGGAGCCTAAGTCACGCCCCTCTACTTCCGCATCACGGGTCCCCGGAAGAATGAAAGAATGAATGCAAGTCAACGGGCTAAAAACTCTATTTTCTAATTCCGCTTGTTTTGTGCCATGGATTTCACATATGATTTTTGTGAATGTTAAAGACACATTTTCATACCAAGAACGCGCTCATTTTCGAACAGGGGGAAACACTATTTTAGGTTTTGCATGAAAATAAGTCCAGGACTACAGATGCGCTTCACGAAAGTGACGTCATCGAACCAGACACGGAGAAAATGGAGGGGAAAGGGGCTGTTAGTTCAGCGAGCTTTCCACAGAAGGAAAGAAACACCAAAAAACTAGTCATCTGGTAAGTAGCAGCTACTTCAGGGGAGAGGAGATTATCTGGTGACGTCACATATGCGACGTGCCGATGTCTGATTTGTAGTCATGCCAATTTCAAACTTTTACACGCTGATGAATCTCAAAGTACGTGACTGGCGTGGTCGAAACACCCATCATTACTTTTCATTTAAACTGCATCACTGACACAGTGACTCGATGCAATCTGCTTAATTAGACAGGAGACGTGAGATGACTCTTGTTGTGATTTGGCGCTACATAAAGAAATTAATCATGAATATTGATGAGTAAGACTCGTAATCCTGTCGTTTTTCTGCCCCTCCGACTAACTTCTACTTCCTGAATCACGAGTTCCAGAGCTTTTTCTTCTCCACAGAAAATGACTCATGAGACACTCATTCATACTAGAGACCAGCTAATGTACCGACAAGTAAACAAGACCTTTAAACTGCATGTTGAAAAGCATTGCTTGCTTTAATAGTAGTATTAGTACACATGTACTAGTACGTGTGTGTGTTTGCAGCTGACTAACCGGTAAAGTACTCTGCAAACTCCTGCTCCAGCTTGACAGCTCTGTCGAAAGCCTTCCTCGCCTGTTCCTCAGTCAAACGTTTGTTCATCTCTCTGTAGAAAATGGTTTCATCAAGTCAATGACAGCTAGAAATGCGCAAACACAGGTTTGGTTGTGTTTATATTTCAGGTTTTAGGTGTTTCTGCCACTTACAGTATGTTTTCGACACTGTTCGGTCTAATGAGGATAGCGATGGGGTAGAGGCCGGCCATCTGCAGACGCTTTATGGCGTTCCCAGACACGTCCAGTATGCAGTGTTTACCCTGTGATGGTTACATGAAACCAGTCATAAGCCACGTTTGAGCGGTCGTCTCTCTCGCTCCTGTTGTCGCCTGAAGCCTCACCTTGTCAGCAACCTCTTTCACAGACTGTATGCTGGTTCCATACAGGTGGTTGTTGTATTGTCCCGCCTCGATGAACTTGTGTTCCTGAATTTCTCGCTCCATCAGCTCTCTGGAGGACATGAAGTGGTAATCTCTGCCGTCTGCCTCGTAGTCTCGTCTCGGCCGTGTTGTGTCTGGGCATCAGAAGGACACATTAGAGACATTCAAGAGATTTTTAAGCAGTTTTCCAGAAGCTAATTTCATTTCCGTACCAAGTTTAAGTTGTGAGCTTTCTTTCAAAGTAATAGCTAATAAAAAATAAACTAGCATTTGTTATTTCTAATCCAGAGAGCTCTAAAAGTAAAACCACTTTAATATACTCAAAATCATTCAATCAAAACTGTGGGTGTTTCTCAATGTCAAGGCGCCTGGCCTTGCGAGGACACTGTCCTTCCTTTGCCAACGAAAATGTTAAATGGAACAGACTTGCATCACATGACCGCGGCTTCCACGGCGGTCACGTAACGTCATGTGACACGGGAGATAACGTTGTATTTTATAGGTATTAGTTTCAATATAAATATATAACGAGCCTTTTACTTTTTAAATTGTGTATTTGTTTATTAAATAAAAAACATAAGTGAGTTACTACCCGCTAGCCACCGAAGCTGCTACTACTAAGCAACTAACCAACCATAGAAAACTTCTTTGGATCTAAAAAACATTTTTAATTAGTTGACTTACTTTTAAACTTGAAATTTGCCCCCGAAGTAGCTGCCGGCTTCTGATCCGCCGTTCTTTTGAAAATACTGTGGTGCATTCTGGGTAATTTTTGACCAAGGCTAGGCTACAAGACACCTCCCACGTATACTCACTCAGCTAGCTAAACTGCTAACAAACAGAGAACACACGCCTCGGTAGAACATGAACATTGGAACACGTCTTGGCGGCTCCCGATGACGTATCTCCTAGGCAACCGGGGAGGGGCCAAGACATCAAGGCGAGGTTTCTTGGCATTGAGAAACACCCTGAGTCATAAGAAGGAACTTCCTGTCCTTTTTCAAGGTCAAAGTTGCACTTTCCCAGATCCACATGTGAGGTGCCCCTGGAACTCCTCATGAGGTGAGGTAACTCACGTGGGACGCAGGAGCCAAACTTGTCTGGGAACTCGGAGATGAGGTCATCGTTGACCCGATCTTTCATCGGTCCAAGCACGATGACGGGCCGCGTGTAATTAACTGGAAACAGACAAACAGGAAGAGGTTAAAGCCTTAAGATGCTCAGTAAGTTGAACCTATCAGTGTCTTTTGACCTCATAGCTTTCAATGTTTGAACTGAGAAGTGTCAAAAGTACCTTCAAGCAGATTTAAAATAGAAATAAAATAATCAATTTATTCCACAGCAACAAGCCATATGTGTTAATCTCTCAGCTGTATGTTAAAGAAGTAAAGCAATCAAAAGTTTATTGTTTGATACATGAAAATGGTGGAATACACTTTTTACGACTAATTCCCGTAAAGCTTCATAAAACCTGTTTTCATGAGCGCAGATGTTTTAGGTTTTCTGTATTTATTTTAAGTTTGAAGGCCAAACACTTGAGAGAGTTTTTAAGGCTGATTCATTCATTCATAACTCACAGCAATGACTGAAATAAGGGTAGATAGAATAAAAGTAATAACACTGACCTTCCTGCTGTATGACAGGTTGGTACGTGAGGAGGATCTCCTCCTGGCCAGCTGTTTAAACACACATGAAGAACACAATTAGAGGCTGCAAGGTTTCTGTTCCCGACACTGAATCACGCTTTTACCCGCCTAGATCAGACGTTTGCAGCAGTCTAGAAAAGCAAAGAGAAGAAACTCACACAAAAACAAAAAACCCCAGCATGCTCAAAAGCCACCGCACACAAAAGATACCTGCGTGTGTGCACGGCCCCGAGACAAGCACCAAAACACGAGCAAATACACACACACACACACACACACACACACACACACACACACACACACACACACACACACACACACACACACACACACATAAAAAAGAGGATGTAGTTAGCTGCAACAGCGAAAAAGAAAAGGAGGAAGAAATAGGGAAACAAATGACCGGGGTGTCTACACTTACAAGAACTACTCTCACTATCACTGGCGTCAGAGGTTACTAGCTCTGGAAGGACAATCAGGTCACACACACACACACGCACGCACGCACGCACGCGCGCACGCACACACACACACACACACACACGCGCACTTATTCAACAATGAAAGAACATATTATGACTTTTCCCCCCGCTCAGGCTGCTGTAGGCTGAGAAGCTATCTGGGAGGGGCTTAGAGCAGAGCAGCTGCTCTCCTCCAGGTGTGAGGTAGTTCTATTCTAGTCTTTGAAACAACTTTTTTTAGGCACATAATTTCTAAAATCAAACACAGACAGAAGACAGATGGATGTTTTTTTTTACGGGGACGATGGAGACCCACATGGCAGCACAAAAGGATGCAATGGGTGAGTTTTGAAAAATGCAAATGTGCATATTTCTGCAAAATACAAGTTCAAAGGAGTGAATTATGACCTCCAAAAGTCAACATGTAACAACGTTTTAGGACACATTAGTGCAGTACGACACAGATTCCCCAACTCGAAGCAGTGTTACATCTTTTTATGAAAACATTTGGGCAGAAACAGAACACTGTGTGGAACACAGCTGTTGTGGGGCAGCAGTAGCTCAGGAGGTAGATGATGGCGCCAAATGACAGCCTCGCCTCTGTCAGACCACCCCAGGGCAGCTGTGGCTATGTAGTAGCTTACCATCACTGGCGGTGTGTGAATGTGAGAGTGCATGGAAGTGACTTTGAGTGTCCTAAACAGCGCTATATAAATTCTATGTATTATTACTATTATTATTATTAAAGCAGCAGATTGGGATAAGGACAAGGTCACATTCAAATTCATAAATAATAAATTTGCATAAAATAGTGTGAAAATCAATGATTTGTGAGTCAGTCAGGTTTGCAGGACTTGGAGATGCATAAACTGACCAGAAGGTGTCAGTGATGGAGAGGCTACCTACCTTTATCATCCTGATCCTGCAAGGAAACAGAAGAAAATGAAAGTGTTAATTAAATATAAAAAACATACATAGTCACCATTTGTTATCAGCATAAACACAGCTGGATCTCACACAATCACACAGACAGAGTGCTTGAGTGAGATCATTCCTAATTATCAAATTTTCCTCGCGCAGAGCTGCTCCTCGCTGTGTGAAGAAAACAGAAGGAGAGCAAGCTGACAACACCGTGATATCAATAGCTGGTGTTAAATTTGTGTCAGCGCTCATCATCATGCTGCGTTAGGTGTGATTAAGGCCACGTTGCACCGATTGTGAAAGTGAAACTTTCTGCTGCTCTAATATCCAAGCAACAATGAGCACTTTGTCTTTAATTAAGGGCTAATTAGCTAATATTTATAGGAACGTGCTGGTGTTTGATTGACTGATGCGTACGGGGATTAGGGCCACTGAAAATAAAAATAAATTAAAAAAAAAAAAGAATTCTGCCTTTTTTACCTCGGATTTCTGACTCTTATGCTGGTGAAGGTTCTCAGTCATCCAGGTCGTGCTAATTCAAAAGGGCTCGAATGAAGGCAGCCGGACCTCTTCGGTTTCTTGAAGACGTTTTGATTCACATCGGAGGAGCTTTGTCAATTCTGACTGGAATATGGGAGGATCACGCTTTTAAAGGGTAGCTGTTTGTTGTTGCTTAACGAGCTACCACACCCTACTGTGTCTAATTAAAACAACATTCCTGCACAATAGAGCCTAACGGCATAAACAACTGGTCGGGAGGTAGGGAGAAGGTTTATTCATAGGTAGTTTCAGTTCATTAAGCAACAACAGACAGCTACAGTTTGTAAGCTTCACTCTCCCATCTTACAGTCAGAATTGATAAAGCTCCTCGGATGAGAAGAGAGACGTTTTCAAGAAGCCAGAGAAGTCCATTTGCCTCCATTCAAACCCCTCTGGATTTTAAAGCTTGGTTTATGCTTGACACCTTTACTTTCCGCTTGGTGATGCGGCTCGTGGATGGAACACGCTTCACAAATTGCAGCGTTTATGGTTCATGCGGCTTGTCTCTGCGGTGAGCTAATATTCTCCCAAACTGTAGGGGGCAGCATGGAGCTCTACGGCATGCATCCAACACTAAACCGTAGTAGAAGTAAAAATTACTGTTGTTTACAACATGGCATTCCAGCATTTTTTAACAGCGTCCTCGTCTTTTCTGACAGTGCGAGCTATTTCTCTCCAAAAATTATTAACAACATGTTGATCACGGTGATCTCTGAGAGCTGAATCATACAAATGTCTGTATTTACGAACCTCTGCCATACTAGTTCTTGCCAGTCCACCATGTTTTTCCGCATCCGTCCGTCTGCGTGGTTAGAAAATTTTCTAGGTGAGCGGTGCGGAAAGTTTGGTCCGTGCGGAGGCGCGGTGGAGGGGCGTGGTTGTTAAAATGACGCAATTTTGCCGCGCGGAGCCGTGCAAACCTCGCGGACGCGTCTAGCATAAACCAAGCTTTACTTATGACTTCTGAGAAACAAAATCAGAAATCTTATTTTTTTCCTTTTCCTTTTCAATGGCCCTAATCTTTTCCCATAGTTTTATGTGATGATTGAACTCAAATCTCTCAAATTGCTCTCAAAGAAAAGCTAAAATTTGGGTCAACAAAGTTTTTAGTTCATGATTTTTGTCATGAAGGAGCTCCCTAAAAAAGCAATTATTTCAAATTATTGTTTTTGTTATATTAGGGTTTATTGTTATTACAGCAAAACTGGCTTTCTTTAGGAAAAATGATGAAACGTGTTTGGGAAAAATTTACATCAGCATGAAAGTAAAATCAGATTATGTATTTAAACTATTTTGTAACAGGACCAGTTTGCATGTGTATATAAAAAAAGAAAATCTTTAATTAGATTTTCTTTGCTTTTAAGTGAAAAAAAAAAAATCTGGACGCTCACCGTTCTGTCTTGAGATCTCGTCACTCTGACCATCTTTAATCTCGACCTCTCCTTCTTCTCCACTCTGGGAAGCAAAAAAAAAAAGGAAAGGGGATTCAAATAAAGAAACATAAAAACACCAGAAGCTACGGATGATAAACACGATGCATTTTTACGGTCTGGGACCAGAAACCCAGCAGTTCTAACCTCACAGTGTTTAGCTGCTTATTATTAGCAAAGAGCTAAACAACTATAAAACTAGACTATTCAGAATTACAACTATTGAAAGAAATATAAAACACAACTAAATGAAAAGTTCTGTTGGAAGCTATGAATGTATCTGTTTCTCACTTCAGATGTTTGACTTTTACCATAAGACAGTTATTCCATCAGCCCCATATGAAACACCCACAAAATCCCCCTCCTAGCTCTCTCTAACATCCTTCTGCACTTCCTCACTTTCTCTCCTTCCACTTCATCACACCTCACACCCTTCCCTCCACAGCACCTCTCTGTGTCACGCGTGACGACACGACTTGTTTTAAACCGTCTTCTCACACCTCAGAAACCTGTCAGCGTCTGTCTGTCTCCTGCGCCATGGGAGGAATCTTCGATGTGAGAAAAAGAGGTAATAACTAAGAATAGTTCTGTTTTCCCTCCTCTCAATTACATTCTTTGTACATGATAGATTTTTTTTAAACATCTCTAGTGCAGTTCAACCTGTCTGAAGGAGTTTGGACCAGAAACTAACATTCAGCTCTATCAGAGGAATGAAACAAGGTTGTTTATGAATATTTTTATTATTGTGCTACGGATTTTTCATCCACGATCTGCTGCAAAGCACGCACTGCAATAAGTGAAACATCTGTGTAATTCAGTTGAATTGAAAATTCTCATTCTTTCAACTCAAAAATTGTAATTTATTGTTTAAACCTGTTTATTTCACTTTGCCTAAAATTAAAAGTCACTTACTTTGAAAGAAACCAAGAAAACTATTTCTCCTGAAGTCAATATATACTTGTCACATGATCGCATGACATCACTCAAACCGCTCAAACCTGTTGTCTGTGTCTACTATTACTAGGGATGGGTACCTTTGACATTTGAATCGATTCGGTACTAATTCCCGGTACCTAGGAATCGATACCGGTACTTAAAGGTACCAATTTTCGATACTTTTGAGTGTTTAATATTTTAATTCTCTTTTATAATTAAATATATATTTTTCTCAATATATAACCACATTTGATAAATATCACGATTAATAACATACAACTGTTTGTATTTTAACATCGTCCTTGTAGTTTTATAAGCTGATAATTAAACTGAAGCAAACATCTTTACTGTGAACTAAATTTACTGTGTATCTTCATTCCTTTTGCCGTCCTTTTTCATTTGATTTTTCCTACTGGGATGTTAGAATTTACGAGGAGAAAGCAAACGCACCATTAGCTGATAACAATGGTGGCAATGGAAGCTAATTTATCAAGCTAATGTTATCTTAAACAGTTTATTTAGCTGCTGGAGCAGATTAAAACGATGATGCCTCACACTTAGATCGTTGTCACTGGTTTCATCTTCACCCAATCACCCGTCGCATTTAGTAAAGTGAAGCCAAACTTTAGAGCGTGTTCATGTTCTTCTAGCCGGAAATTCGGAGTTCCGAGGAGAAAGCGAACACACCATTAGCGAAACGGAAGCTAACATATCAAGCTAACGTTATGTTAAACATTTTATTTACTAACGGAGCAGCTTAAGATGAGGATGTCTCACTTAGGTCGTCGTCGCTGGTTTCATCATCACCCAGTTACCCATCACATTTAGTGAAGTGGACCCAAGCGTGCGTTCTTTCTACCATGCTGCTCTGTTAACAACTCGCTCGCAGGGACCGAAAAAATTAAAGAGGGACATTGTTACTGTTACATTATGTGCGTTTGAGAAGTTGCTGAGTATGCACCTACCTCCCACTTGTAATTTGACACCAGTAGTGAAAAAGCTCCAGAGTTGTTCAAAAAACCGAGGCCAGTAAACGGGGACACCCAGAAGTTATTTCTTGTACTCCTAAGAAGCCACAGCATCTTTATGTTTTACTCTAATACCAGGTGAAGCAGGTTAGTGGCTAACGTAGAGCTAACAATGCAAACGGTGAATTAGATGCGAAGCTCTAAAAATATCTCAAGCTACTTTTCAAATGACCAACAACTCGATATTACACTGAAATGTATGTGTGAAGTGAATAAAGAGTCAATTGTGGCGTTTTACTTCCTTAAATGAGTCGTTCAGAACTATAACAGCAAGCTAACAGCAAGACGTCAAACCCCTCTAATGCTGAAGACTGCAGTAATCAAATGTGACCACATGATGTTGTTGTTACTCCATTCTTACAAATTGCACATTTAAATAATGAATAAAATGAATAGGAAAGGACCCAAGAGTTTGTTTAGTATTGTTGGGGTGTTCTCTGTAAACCAGCGTGGATTGAACTGTAATGAGTGATATCTGTGTTTGTACCATTATCTCCTATTAAATCAGTTTTTCTATTTAATCTCATTCAAACTTCTGTATTTGTTTTCCTTTCTCTCTATCACTTTCTTCACCTATGTGAAACTGTTCAGACTCTAACCTCCTGCGGCTCGGGATGAGTCCCACTTCAGGGCAGTTTGGGGGCGGGGGGCTCAGGTGACGGGCTGGCCACCACTCCTCGTCGCCGGCACTGCTCACGTGGAGGATGTCCCCAAAATGAAATGGAAGGGGCTGATTGGGCATGGTTAGATCTGCCGCGCTTCCATCGTAGTCGAACAATGCCCTGAAGAAAGAACCAAAACACTAATTAACTCACAAACTCAAACATTTAATCTAAAGACAAATGGGTGACAATAATCTACAGTTCATGTGCAACCATTTACAAAATAAATCAAACGAAAAAATAAACAAAAAGGAGGAAAAAAGCTAAATTAGTTAAATTGATCTTTGTCAAAAGATTAATTTATAGCATTGACTTGACTTATTTCTCTTAATGCACATCATTGTACCCATCTATTTATGTGTGTGTGTGTGTTCCTTCTGCTTGTGTGTGTGTGTGTGTGTGTGTGTGTGTGTGTGTGTGTGTGTGTGTGTGTGTGTGTATGTGTGTGTGTGTGTGTGTGTGTGTGTGTGTGTGTGTGTGTGTGTGTGTGTGTGTGTGTGTGTGTGTGTGTGTGTGTGTGTGTGTGTGTGTGTGTGTGTGTGTGTGTGTGTGTGTGTGTGTGTGTGTGTTTAAACAGCAATATGTGACTCTGGCCACAGAGAACAAAACCTTTCCAGAGGGAAAAGACCTGAGAAATAGGTCAGCAATATGTTTAGGAATCTGTGTAAATGCAACATAACTAGAGCTGAAATAACCAGAATACCCCAAAGACCCCACTGCCTTCATCAATTAAACACAACCAAGCTGAAAGATAAGGAAAGTGACACCGAATCAGACTGAGAACGGAGAGATGATCTTTAGAAAGAGTCCGATTCCGGATCAAAAAACAACCCAACCAGTGTTTCAATCCTGTTAAGAGTCACTATGACAAACAGAAGAATGTGAATACAAAACAGTATGTAATGTTAGATTTTGTGTTAAAGTATTATCAGGCCATCTTCATTTGACAGGACATTAACAACGTCTTAGACTGTATGGAAATCATCATCATCATCATCATCATCATCATCATCATCATCACCATAATTATAGACTGTATAGAAATCCTCCACCACATCATCATCATCGTTATCATCCTCATCACTATGATCATTATCACCATAATTATAGACTGTATAGAAATCATCATCATCATCATCATCATCCTCATCACTATCATCATTATCACTATAATTATAGACTGTATAGAAATCATCATCATCATCATCATCATCATCCTCATCCTCATCACTATGATCATTATCACCATAATTATAGACTGTATAGAAATCATCATCATCATCATCATCATCCTCATCACTATCATCATTATCACTATAATTATAGACTGTATAGAAATCATCATCATCATCATCATCATCATCATCCTTATCACTATCATCATCATCCTCACCATCATCCTCATCACCAATAGCATCATCATTAAGCTCACTTGAGGTAGGTTTTAATAAGAATCAGCTTCTTCCTTTTCGAAACTGAATGCCTTTTTTCTTGTTGCTCGTTTTTGCAGACTTAACAGGTATATCTGTTTTCTTTTTTATTTTCTAGTATGTTTTTTTGTAAATACTTGTTTTTATTTCTATCCTATTTTTAATGTTCAAATAAAAATCAAGGAATGAATGAATGAATCAATCAATCATCATCATCATCATCATCATCATCATCATCATCATCATCATCATCTCTTTATAGTCAATTTCATTTCATTTTTGCAGCTTAATGCCAGTTGGGGAATCATTAAAATCCAATTCCCAAAAGATGGGAATGACAACAACTTCTGATCTGTTGCAACCTTAAAGACTACTGTACTCTATGGAAAAGATGCCTCTGTAATGTATGCTAATGCTGTGCACATGCAGCTGGCAGCCAGTTATAGAGGTAAAGTATGTGCTGCTATTTAAATTATTCAGGGGACAGGAAGGTAACAGGATGGAGTTTGTGTAATAACCTTAAACCCACATACAAGCTCATTAGTGAAGAAAAGAATAAATGCAGTGAACAACACACCCCAGATGATTTTGTACAGGACGTGGATTTCATATTCAATTAACTCTTCTGAGGTTCACAAGTATTTGAATTCCTAAGTGAAAATCTCAGCGGAGACCCTCTGACAAGAGAACACACATTAATGACTAACAAAAACACCATCACACTGTCTCAATGCTCTCTGTAAACAATATGTTAACGTTAGATTTCTGCAGAGCCACTAGCGTATTCCTCATACAGCAGTGCAGTTTGACTGCTCCTATAGTATTACTGCTTATGTGTGCTCTATCTCAGAGGACGAAGCTCGGTGATAAAAAAAAAAAAACGGTACAATACTGCAGTCAAAAACACAAAAATAACATTCAAGCAAAGCTAAAATCACACAATGCACCAGAAAACAATGCAGGAGGCAGAAATTCATGTTTTTTCTCAGCTTTAAAACTAAACAAAACAAAAAAATCATGACCTTTAGATATGAAGGCATGTAAAGGAACAACCGTTCAGGAGAATAGAGAAAAACAGCAAACTAACACAAATGTCTTCAAATGATGTAAAACACAATAATCTTTATACGATAGATTCTTAACTGATTTCTTCCGTTTATTTTCTAAACCAAGGTGATGCAATAGGAGGTAAAACACATCGATGAAATGCAAACTCTGCTGAATTCAAAGGGGTGATATTTATGAAATCAACACTTTCTGTCATGATCCTGCCATGCCCTGACCTCCATGCACCATCACTCACCTCATCAGCCTTCATGCATCACACCTGGTCGCCTCATCAAGCTCCAGCCAAGCCCTGTTTCCCCAGCAACCACAGTCAACTCACCATCAAGCTCATGCCACACACCTGATTCACCAGCTATATATACCACATTCAGCCACCGGCACTCTGCCAGATTATTGAACACTCCTGTTAGTAAATTATCCAGCTTTTTACCAACCTTGTCATCACGGATCCTGAACCTTGCCTCATCCTCTGATCATCCTCCTCATCGTGCCCTTATTGTATTACCCTGCTTCGTCCCCTGCCTCGTCTTCGGATTTCCCTGTCTGACATTCTGCATCTCGGACCGTCTGGTAACGACCCTGCTTGTCTCCTGACTCATCCCTGCCTGCTCCCATCATCATCTATCTCTTCTTATAATCATTTTTACACGTGTCATTCTGTTTTGGGTGTTTCTTACGGGTCCGCCAGTATAGCTCATGACACTTTCACCTGAGTTGAACATCAGGTTTTATTCCACGCAGGCCTGGAGCATTTACTCCATTTGGACCCATATTCTATTTTAAGAAACCATGTGAACTTCGTCATTTTCCAGTGGTCCAGAATCACCATGTGCACCATGGATCGATGCAGCAGAGACGATCATCCCTGTTCAGCATACAGCATCGTTTAAATGTGCCTCAAACCTCAACGGCGACTCCGTGTATCGTAATCGGCACAAACGGATTCCTGCATTCATCATTCTCTTATTCCCACCAGTGGTGATTCTTATAAAACAGTTTAATTTAGATTAAGTCTTTTGACTAAAACTCTTTTTAATTTTAGTCACGATTTAGTCATCCAATTTGTTTTAACTAGTCGACTAAAATACATAATTTTTTTTCTGATGCAATTTTCAAAGTCTGCAAAGGAAATGTTAACTAAACCTACTTGAAACTGTTTACATTTCACACTTTGGATCAATAAAATTCTGTATTTATAACTGTTTTATTAACAGCAATTAATGGAAAATACAAAAATGAACACTGACAGTTTGACATTGTGCCTGTTAGTATTATAAGTAAGAATTATAAGAACGGAATGACTCTTATTTTTCCCTTCTTTGCTCAGAACTAGTCTGCATGAGATATGGTCTCAAGGTCTCATGCATTCCTTCTAACCTGCTTTTTTTCAGCTCAACAGAAGAACGAAGAATGAACTCTTTACTTTTAATTAATCAAAGAACTCTATTTTAATAAAGCTAATCCATCAAAGTGTTAGTCAATAAATGAGATGTGACCGACCTGTGAAATTAAAATATTAATTACTTTATTATGATCCTATAGAAATAATAAGTACTGTGACTTTAAGTGTTCCAACAGGACTCATTTCATGTAGCGGCTGTGTTCGAGATGAGCCAGTTCTGCGCAGATTAGATCACCGGTGATCGGCGAGCAGTGCATGACGGTTAGATTTATGTCCAACTTGACGCCGACTTGCTCTGACGTCATGCATACTTAGGCAACGATAACCTCGTGAGATCAAGGCGGCCGCAGATTTTAGATCAAGGCGCTGCAGTTGCTCTCCATCGGCTGCAAAACCTAGGGCATGACGGGAAACGCCTGGCTCTCACCTGATCTAAGATCTGATTGGTTCATATTTTGAGCCAAACATCCGGTGGTAGAACACGAAATGTTAGTTGGTCACATGTATTCTGTAAATCATGTTATGTTGATATAGGTCATAAAGAGGAATGTGTTTTGTTTCCTTTTGGCACGTTTCCTATGAGCACACTGAAGCTACAGCTGATAACCTTTACTTATTATTACAGTCATGTCTTCATATACAATATATGATATCCACAAGCACGTGAGGATGTGTTTCAGCTGCTAACAGGCACCAGAATTAAAACAGAAAATTGAACAAGTGTGAACGCTAACGCGATATCTTCAGCCATCGTCACCCGCGAGCTAGACATGCAGGAAATTGTGTCCGACTTAAATGCCGGCTTTCAGCCACGCCCCCTGCTGCTTCCGTCTGCTCTCGTCTGTTTTCCAGGCGAGGCGCAGCTCAACTCGAACACGGCCAGTGTTAAAAAGACCTAACACATTAATTTCACTGATCCAATCAGAATCTTACAGATCTGACGGAGGCGTGGTTCTGATGGTGTTTGGTAATTTTCATTCGACAATAAACCATAACATCCGTAGTATAAAACTTTGCCATGTCAGCTCTAACGTCAGTTCAAAGCGTTCCAGAGAAAGTGACGGAGTGGCCAATCCTGATCTAAACTCTTTAACCGAAAGAACCAATGACAAGCTGAAAAATCCAGTCGCTATAACAACCAGCAGCAACAACAGCTCCTTTCAGAATAAAAGCTCCATCCACCGACCCAGGCTTGGGTCTGACCAGACGCCAATAACGTGTCGTGTGGCGGAAGTAACTCAAGACGGGTTTGATCGGAACCACGGCTTTTCCTACCGGCTCGGTTCCAGAGAGGTTTCACTGGACCTCGATATTCCTGATCTACAGAGCACTTCCACCGAAGGCAAGGTAGGCCGACATGATGGGGTCTCATATATTTCTGAAGCTAACCAAAGCGTAATGCAAAACAACATCTTCAGTTTCCGTCAGAACAAATCGCTTCTTCGGATTTGCTGGTTCTGATTTACATCAGACGTCATCCATTTTTAGTTACACCATACATTTAGTTTTAAAGTCAGTCTAGTTTCATTTGTTAGTAATAAAATTCTTAACTTTTAAACTTGACTCTCTCTATTCTGTTGTCTCTGAGTGAATGCGTAATGGTTATCTAATCCCTGCAATAAAAAGATCCAATCTTCTGGTTTAAATAACCCAGTGTCCATTAGATGGGATTCATACTCGATATGGATCTTTAATGTCTATGGTCATTAATTAAACTGCAATAATCCATTTCATTACATAATAAAGTAAACAAATTTGCATATTGTGCAGTGTATACATGAGGAAAGGACATAATACCATCAAAACATAAAAATGTTACTCTAATAATGCTAAAGGTAGACATGTTTTCAGGTGCAGTTATTTTACCTGCACTCATTTACTTCAACGTTCATCTGGGCCGCCAGAAAATGATTAAACAACCAGATGTTCATTGTGCGTCCAGTTACCCCCCCCCCTCCCCACCACCATCACCGTAACCTACCACTGTAACACTTTTACAACCAGGGGAAACCCCGTACGTGTACTCACCAAGCGAATACTTTTTAGATCGTAAGATCTAACGCTTTTACTCCCAGCCACGAACATTTTCTCCATTTAGACATAAATTATTAAACTATTATCGGCATAAATATCAGTATGTTACGTCTGTGGTCAGTGGCCAACTCCGGACCCTGATTGGCTCTTTTTTTAATTTCTCCCATCTATACTGTCTTCTGATTGGATCGCTGTCAATTTTTGTCGTCATCTTTTATTCGTCAACCAATAACAAATTTGTTGATCAATATTCGTCATAATTTAGTCTTTAATAGATGTACGAATTTCCGTTTTCGTATGAAAAAACAAATTTGTCACAAACAAAATGAAATATTTCATCAACAAAATTAACACTGATTCCTACTCGAAAAGGAAATACATTTAATTATGGAAAGTACAATTGTTATGGATCATTATGTGTTTTGCAGAAATCTCTGTCTCTTCAGGCGAATTTCAGTGAAATACAAAATTACAATTCCAATCTGTTGAGCCAGGCGGTGTGCTAAAAATAGGCCAAATTTGGTGTGAATTTAAAGAGGCAATGAGGCAGGACACACACACACACACACACACACACACACACACACACACACACACACACACACACACACACACACACACCTTTTACAGAGGACAGACAGGGACAGTACACATACAGTAGTATGTCACTTTGTGTTAGTGACATTTTCACTGGGGGTGGGTAGCCCATTTTTTCCAAATACACTAGAGCATGGTACAAATAACCCATACACATTTCCATATGCACACACACACACACACACACACACACACACACACACACACACACACACACACACACACACACACACACACACACACACACACACACACACACTGCAAGCCCATGCATGTACACACAACAGCTGCCCAGAGCATCAGACACCCCCAGTCTGTCACACACCAACAGCCACAGCTTGACCAATCAGCTGCCAGTTTGATGCATCTTTTCTTGTTATTTGAAGCTGATTGGCCATTTAGGGCAGTGACCAGATACACAAATTATCTCTATGACAATGATTTATCATGTCTGCTGTCGGGGGAACATTACACCCTTTTACGCACCCTTGAAATGATCTTAGTTCTAATCTGAGCCTGATGTCGACAAGGCTTTCCATTAGGATTCATTATGTCTGATTATCTAGGAGGACGCCGAAACAGCAGAATTACACATGAAAACATTCTCATTAAAGAGATGTTTTCAAGTGTGTTTCTGTGTAAAAGTAAAGAAGAATTCATATCTTTCTTCTTGTCGATGGCTGTACTTATTTATGCAAAATATGTTTGTTATTTAAAGGGGTGCTTTGCAACTTTTTCATATTTTTTCATATTTTCCATGAACCAGTATGTGCTAAAATGACCCTTTACAAGGTTACTGAAAGGCCAGCCAGCCCATATCGCCCCCTGTGGCCAGAATGTTCCACTTGCAACTTCAGACTGGTGGGCCGCTCTGTTGGGACAGTCTCATGACAAGGAAACACAAATATTCATGGCCCCGCCCACTTTTGCTTGTGACTGCTAATTTAGGAGTAGAAGCTAACCGTTAGCATTAGCAACTCCACAACATGGTGGACGTCCACCAGGCTTGCGTTATTTGTGGAGATAAAACATCAACGTTGTAGAGCGAACAGAGTCAGTATTGGAGAGGTGTACAGTTGTGTCGCTGCTAGCCAATCTTAAAAGGAACTCCGGCTATGAGGACGTGCATGCCCTAATAAGCCACAAGTTTTCTGTTGTACCAAACTGTTGTTAGAAACACACAAAATATAGCTGTTTATTTATAAATCTATAATACTTAGTACATTTTTGACATACGTAGGACGCCAAGGGAATCCCAGGTGAGAGACAGCTGATAGGCCCCCTCATCTCTGTTCATGTTCCAATGTTCCCATTTCCTTATTTCTATTGCCTCCCTGACCCAACGTTTGAACCGGTTGTTCTTCATGTTGATAATTTTCCCATGATCCCAGTCCATGATGTGATTATTTCGTTTGCAATGATCTGAGATGGCTGACTTGAGGGTTTGCTCCTCTGCTTTTTTCTTTGTTGTCCTTGTGAGTGTTTCTGTTGTTTCCTTCTCACATTGCTTCTGGTGCTCTTTTCTTCTTATGTCATATGTTCTGCTGGTTTCCCCTATGTATGTGTTATTGCACGACATGCATGGTGTTTTGTAGATTACATTGCATTTCTTGTCTGGCTCTATTTTGTCCTTGGGGTGCACAAGTAGCTGTCTGAGTTTCATGTGATATTTGACGGTTGTGTTGATTTGCTGTTTTTTCATTTCCTTTTGTATACGTTCTGTGACTCCCCGGATATATGGACTTGTGATGGTGTCCGTGTGGTCTGGTCTTTGTTTTTGTTTTCAGGGCTGCATGGTGGCACAGTTGTTAGCACTGTTGCCTCGCAGCACGAAGGTTGCAGGTTTGAAACTCGGCTGCGGCCTTTCTGCGTGGAGTTGCGTGTTCTCCCCATGCATGCATGGGTTTCCTGAGGGTACTCCAGTTTCCCCCACAGATCACAACATGCCTTATAGGTTATAAATTGTAAGTCGCTTTGGATAAAAGCGTCTGCTAAATACATAAACATTCTTTTTTTTGGTCTCTCTGTTTTTTTTATTTTCTTTGACTTGTTTTCCTTTTTCTATGTAAAGGGTAACTAGAAACACCTTCATGTCCGAAGCAAAAAGAACTTTGTTTAATATTTAAAAAGAGGACATAATGAACATTGTAAAGCCATCGTTAAACTAGTTTAATCAGTGTTACCTCAGCAACTAACAATAACCAGAGTCAAGCACGTCGTCCTCTGAGTTTTTCTTCAGGTACTAATGAGTTACGTGTTTTTAGGCAAGTCTTCCCACTTCCCTTGATTTGTTGCATTTTTAAACACCTGCTAGTTGTCTGATAACCTGAAAAGATAACTAAAGTTAACTGGACTGTGAGCCCTTTTCAAATGGTCCAGAACGCAGCGGTGCGTCTGGTCTTCAATCAGCCAAAAAGAGCACACGTCACCCCTCTGCTCATTGAGCTCCACTGGCTACCGCTAGCAGCACGCATCAAATTCAAATTGCTAACACTAGCATACAAAGTCCGAGATGGTACGGCTCCCATCTACCTGAGTCCTCTTGCAAAGGCTTACGTCTCGGCCCGGCCACTCCAGTCATCACAGGATCGTCGGCTAACAGTGCCTACACCACACTCAGGACAATCCAGACTCTTCTCATGCATCGTTCCACAAATGTGGAACGACCTTCCAAGCACTACCAGAACAGGGGCTTCCTTTTCGACTTTCAAGAAACTCCTGAAGACCCTGCTCTTCAGAGAGCATCTTCTAAACTAGCACCATCCCTGCACCCGTCCCCCTCTCTACTGTCCACTCCTTGTTCCCTCCTCTCCATGACTGATTTCAAGTTGTTGTTGTTATTGTTGTTGTTAGTCTCAAGGGCAACATGCCAATTATCACTTGTAAGTTGCTTTGGACAAAAGTGTCTGATAAACATAAACATAACCAAAGTGACTTTTTGACCTAAGATGATGCTTTTCTACCATTTTTAATAACATTAAAGATACCTGACGCTAGCCTGTTTAGCAGATTTATTATTGTAGCTTTAAGGGTGAAAAACCATTCAACAAGTTTCCTCTTGCTGAAAGAACTTGGCTCCTTAAGCCTCAGTAGTCTCTGTGACTGATCCCCCGACAGCTCTGATGTGAAACCGGTGACCCAGTTCAAGCATTTCAAATAGCGTGATGCTCTCAAATACAGAGGAAATCGAAAGATGTGTTTCTTTATGTGTGAAAATGCTCTGCAAATACATTTAGGAGGAGCACGGTGACTCAGTACAGACTGGATAACCAGGACAGGCGAGGACAGGATCCACAATGGGACACACAGATGTGTGTGTGTGACACTATTCACCACAGGATCTAAAAGTGATTCTATAAGTGATAACCTCCTCTTTCAGCTTTTCTTACACAAACCACTGATCAGCTTGCAGAGATAAGCTGCTCAGTTTTTTAGCCAAGAATGGAGGTCTTTTGTCCACTGTGTGTGTGTGTGTGTGTGTTACCTGACATAAAGTGTGCGTTTCTGTGTGGGGCGGAGTGATGTGGAGCTGGAGCTGACGCTGCTGGTCATCATTTGTTCCCTCAGATCATGGATCTTTGCCTCGAAACGACTGTACTCTACAAATAAACACGAAAAAGGAAGAGTTAAATACTTCTGCAGGACGTGGTTGAAGCCGATTTCACGTTGAACCTGCTGCTCCACATTAGGAGCAGCAACTTCTATCGTCTTTGCTCAGTGGATGAAAGAGACGAGCGCAGCGTGAAAGAAACCGCCTGAAGGATGAAAAAAGATCATCACTGTTGCTGTAAGTGACTTTAGAACAAAGAGAACAAGCATATTCAAATCTGATTACATTTGTTGAACTTTCTTTGAGGGGCTGGTACATAGCAGTCTCAATAGATACTAAACATAGAGGGACTAAACATACAGTTATAACAGTCGATTTTGGATACAAGTCCCAATCACATAACTCCTGCAGACACGTAATGTCGGAACAACAGCAGTCACATAACATGCTTGATTTCACCCAAGGCCTTTATCTGTCTTTATAAAGTTCCAGAATCCATCCCAGTGAGAAGTTCCCTCTCTGTTGTCTTCACTCATTCTACTGAGCATACATTCACATGATGCAGATTCGGCCATTGCACAGACCCATTCCTTAACCTCTGGAGCTTCTGCTGCTTTCCAGTGTCTTAAAATGACTCGACAGGCTGTTGCTAACCCCACTGAAACGATTGAAAAATTACACTTATTTACATTAGGCAACTGAGATTTATCTCCCAATAAGCACAGTTCTGGGTTAAACGGGATGTCTGTTCCACACCAATTACTTAAGATCTTGATAATACGGGTCCAAAAACATCTGATAGGAGCACATTCCCAAATACAATGCGTGAACGTCCCAATACTCGTTTTGCATTTCCAACATGAATCGTCATCCACTAGCTTCATTCTAAACAGTCTAGATGGTGTATAATAGTATCTGTTTAGCACATTATATTGCGTGAGTTTACTCCTCACCTCTCTTACGTGTTTACCACAGTTAACAACAATTGTTTTCCATATATCATCATCGAACATTATGCCAAGGTCTTTCTGCCAGATCATTTTTAACTGGTTGGAATCATCACTGAGGAGAGAGTTAATGATTTTATAGAACTGCGAGGCTTTTTGTTTACTAGTTGGAAGTTTCATATAGTTACTGTGTTGTCTTCAATATTATATGGCTGCGAGGTAATACAACTTCTCATTTGCAAGAACTTCCAAAAGTGACCCCTTCCCTCTAAGTTAAACTCTTGCACTAGTTCAGATCTGATTACATTTGCGATTTCATCAGACATTTCTATGATGGGAGCTGGGTACCCACCATGACGTGACCAGATAATCGTAGGTGGGTAAAATCCTTAAACCCACGAGACCCAGGTGACTTGGAAGACGAGGAGTCATGTTAGTGAGAGCTGACTTCTCTGATTTCATGCTCTGCTGTAGGTGGAAATAGGTGAGCTGGAAGTGAATGGTCCCATTTAACATGAGAGATGATTTCGCATTGTGACGCTGAAGTGGCTCAGCAGTGGTGTGATGGAGCATCACCGCTGCAGTGCTCTCAAGAAGTCATTAAGCTTTAATTCGCTTCTTCACTCCAATGTTAAAAGTTTCACATATTCAGAAAAAGGATTTCCTGTCAAATTTCAGATTTACTTTCAGAACACACACACACACACACACACACACACACACACACACACACACACACACACACACTGGACCATGCTTTTTCAGAACAGCACCTCAAAGAGGTCCTTCACTGAGAAACCGTGTTTTTACTTGTTTGTTTTTTTAATGATCAGTCACTTTGAGTTTTTCATGCAGGCTGAACATGAACACAGTCTCCTACACCGATCTCCTGCATTAGGTGGTGAAACTCTAGGATTAGAAAATCCTGACAGATCTACGTCACACTGTCACTAACATTCAAGGACTCACCCATCTCAATCAATCAATCAATCAATCAATCAATCAATCAATCAAAGCTTTATTTATAAAGCGCCTTCCGCAACCCTGTCAGGAAGTCCAAGGCGACTCACGACTCACGACGGGGAAAGCTGCTGTTGGTTTAGTATCCAGGAGACAGCAGAGAACGTCTCTGCTAGTAGAAGCTAACTGTTAGCATTAGCAACCCCACCACACAGCATAACTCCTCCAGGCTTGTGTTATTGGTGGAGAAAAAACATCAACGTTGCAGGGCAAATAGAGTCAGTGGTAGAGTCACGTTGCTGTTAGCCAATCAGAGGAGAGATGTCCAAATATCAGGAAATCCTGTCATCTGAAGCCACCATCTCCTCTGGCTGAATTCTCTGTGCTGAAACAAGTGCACCAGAGCTTGTTTTACCCAGAGAGGACTACAGACCACTGCAAATGCATTGAAAATACAAAATGAGTGAAGGACCTTTTTGAGTTTAATTACCAGAACCATGTGGTAAATACAGTGGTGGGCAGTCAGGGCCAGCAAAGCCTTCTCTGCTGGCCTAAACATACTCAAAAGCGTAAATGTATTTTTTTTTTCCTTTGGTAATTATTTTTAAATAAAAAAAATGTTTACTGGTCTATTTTCTTTATATCCTATTATACCCACTTGGCTGCGCTGCTTCCAGTGTTAAAATACCAAGGCTGGGTGTTATCCAATCAGATTTAAGCTAGCTTGTGTTTTCAGGCAGATTAAGTCTGCCCTAGGCCTTCAGAATCAATCGAGAAGCCCACTGTCCGCTGTAAGTGAACAGAGACGAGCCAGTTGCGATAGCCAATCAGCTCACGAGTCAGCTTGGCCCGGGCCAGCTAGCTGGCCTCACGCAAAAGTTGACATGAACACATCCTGTGATTGGATAAGCAGTAGTTAGAACTTTTCTAGCGGCATGAAGCAAAATATCAAAACTAAACACGGAGATTTGTATCTATAGGCAGCTATCGGTGTGTTTTTGAACACATGATGGCTGAAAGAGGAGAAGGGACAGACTTGGTTGCAGATTAACTTGCCACACCATTTTCCAGACGGACCTTTCAAGAAAAAATGGATCTTGTGAGAACAGGTCGTCTGACTCCAATGCTAGCTGGCTTGTCCCAGGAGGGGAAAGGATTTGTTCGTCATTTTCAGGCAAGCAACTATGAACGGTACCCATGGCTAACAGCTTCAGAGAACCGCTGCAGGTTATTCTGCTGGGAATGCCCGTTGCTGGCATCAGATCGATTTGGTAGCATTAAAGCGCGTTAAAACGTACGCCAGAAACACGACCGGACAGACACGGCTTTCAGCATTAGCCTCCATGTCCGTAGAAAAGGACCTACTCATGGACCTGAAGCGCACAGATAAACTGTACAGAGCCACTGAGGTTTTCCTGAGGAAAGAAAGAAGGATGGATTTTATTTTCTAATGAGCAGGAGAGGAGGAGATCCATGCTGGACATTTATGTTGGTGAGTAGAAACATTTTATTAGTATTTTTTTAATGTTTTGTCATTTTATTTTGTTAATAATCAATAAATGGTAACGAAATAAAATGGCAAAATGAAATAATTCTATGTGTTCTGTTTCTATGCAATTTATATTGTGTATAACGTGGTGTGTGCAGCTGCGCCAACATGTTTGCGGTACAATTTTCTCCAAAACAAATGCAAATAATGTGTTTGCTTTACTTATTTATTTTATTGTCTCATCTCTTAAACCCGTCTTTCATTTCTGAGATTTGACGGTATCCGTGGTCAGCTTCCTACTCTCAACTGGGAATGCGAGTTTGATTTTAAAGACTCTGGAAATTATGTGTCTTGACCAGCCACTGGTGTTTGTGTGTGTGTGTGTGTGTGTGTGTGTGTGTGTGTGTGTGTGTGTGTGTGTGTGTGTGGTTTCTCCAGCTGTGATGTCCTATTGATGGTATTTTAAGGTGTATTAAATTAGATTGGACTGAATAGGAAATCACTGAAGGCCCAGGGGTGGAACGCACCGCCCGCCACTGGGTAAATAGCAAGACAGCAACTGGTTGGCCAAACAACGCAAAGTGCAACCATTAATTCATCCACTCAGCACAGCTGGCCTGTGGTTTAGTACCCTCCTGCTACAGCCAGCAACACACACTCAAGTTTCTGACCTATTTTTTTAGTAGCTATAAAAATGTCATTGTGCTTCTTTAATTATGAATGAACATTAATTATAGAAAAGCTCAACGTAGAAAGACTAATTACAAAATGTTTTTAGCTCATGTGAAAGAACGTTGTTACAATGACTGGCTGGTTTCAGCTAAAGAGCAAGAGGAGACACGTTTAGTAAGCTGCTGTGACTAGCCGGAAATATTTTAATCCAGGGTTGCTGAGCAAAACGCAGAAATGCCATCAGGTCTGACTGTCTTCCACTCAGCTCAACCCCTACAGCTTCACAGGAACTCCTGCAGGAGCACACAGATGACAACCTCAGCTGTAATAAGCCTGAAAAAGCCCTTGTGAAGGATGCCCTGGTGTGTGTGTGTGTGTGTGTGTGTGTGTGTGTGTGTGTGTGTGTGTGTGTGTGTGTGTGTGTGTGTGTGTGTGTGTGTGTGTGTGTGTGTGTGCACGCCTGACCCATTACTGTGGACAATCTAATTAACCCTCAGTAATTCAATCACACTGAAGGTACATGCAATCATGCATTTACATTGGCTCTCCCTCACTGACACACACACACACACACACACACACACACACACACACAGCTATAAAACCCGTATTATCTCTTGACTTCATATCTTGCCCCTCTTCTTTCCCTTCCTGAGACCAGAACGTGCCGATCTCAGCTCGTTTCAGACAAACTGCATTTTAATCGAACTCGGTGACACAAGCAGACGTGTGCCAAGGAAGGTCAAAGTCGGGCGTCTCTGAATGTGATCTCTGTGCCGTGATTTTGTTACAGTTATCAACTAAACAAGAAGAAATCGCTGAGGAGTCTCTTTGTGTTAGGGAAAAAACCCTCCATGTGACCTCGTGCAGGCATGTTTTTACATTTAAATCATTCAAATATAAGTTGCTAATCCATATACTGAGTATCTGTCAAAAACCAGAAGATTAAGCAAAGCAGCAAAAACATAAAATTGAAACTTT